GGTTTTGGTTGTTTACCAAACTATTAGTATCTAGTTTATTATTTTTTTCAATCTTCAGCTTTTCTTGCTCCATTGTCAACTTGTATTTGGAAATCAACTTCTGGAGATTACAGCATTTCTTTTGACTCCTTGATTTCCTTTTTAATTGACATTGTTTTGTCGCCACTATCCATCTTGTCGATCCAAGTCTCCATAATAAATTTTTGCAGCCTTGTAAACAGTTCAACAAACGGCTTAACAACAGCTTCCTTGATGGAAGAAAATGATATGTCGGATGATGAATATTGGTTTATAGTGAAAAAAAATTGACAACTTACTGTTTTATATTCCACAAACCGTGTCGAAATAGGAAGAAATTATAAGAACTCGAAAAAAATCGAAAAGGGATGAAAGAATTGATATTTGTAGAAATAATATTAAACAAGACTTTAATACCGGAAAATATGCGTAGAAATGCAGTGCCTGTTATTTAATTTATAATGAAAAGGTTATTGCGGCACTTCCGAGGCTTCAATTTTGGCTGCTGATCTTTCCACACATATTGCTATTCGATCCAGTGTCAAAGCACGCATCAGATTTAGACAGAAAAGCATAATGAATTTCTTTGATATATGATTATTGCAGACAAACATTCCCTATCCCACAGTCTCTTCTGCATGTTCTCTCATTTTTTCGTTCATAATGTTCAATTTGAAGCGTTTTTATTTCAATGTTTTAATTTGATTATAATATGTTCCCAAATAAATATTTTAGAATATCTTCTCATGTTATAAATGAAAGCATACATGCCTTATGTACATGATTACAAAATATTTAGCACCTCTTTGTCGAAAAAATTAATCAAGTGATAAAAAGTAATTATTTTTGTACATGAGCTTTTAACCAGTAATTATTACCCGTAGTAGTTCTGAAATACCAAGAAAACGTAATTTGTTGCTTTGTGGAGTGTGATGACCTGAGAATAAATAAAGATACACTATTATTGGAACAAGTCGGTAGGTGGTATTGTTCAAGAGAACTAATAAGACACTTATATGATTTAGGTAAATCACATATATGAAGAAAGGGATTGAGCCTCCACCAGCTTAACGATAAATATATCGATATAGATTCAACGAGAAATAAAATGAATAGCAAGATGCATCCAAGGTAAGTGTAAATAAAAAGAAATATATTTAATGCTTATTGACAGGAGTCTGCAGGAAGTGATCTATAATATGATCAGTGAAATACGCATCTTTCACTCTTGTGATAACTAACATGGTCTGGAAAGCATAATTTAACACATCAACGCTGTATCGATCAGGCACGGTAAGCGAACATAAAATAGGTGGTCAATTGTCGTTAAGCAAACCTAGAAACATTCTGACCATGAGAGATGTTTCTGGACAAAATACGTACTTGATAAGTTATAAACGTTTTTATGTGTAGATGTTTAACGTAAGTCCAGTATAGTCGGATGAAAATTTTGAATTATCAGATTGGTTAAGTGGCATGTTACCACATTTATACTGATGTGCTTACCAGTATGAAAAGCGGATATCGAAAATTTGGCTGAGAACATATGACGCCGGAATCTAAAGTGAATAGCGAAGATACTATTTATTCTAGATCATGTGTGAACTTTCACCGATAAGGACTCCTAGGAAGTTATGGGCACAGACCATAATTGTATATTAATGTATTGTTGAATGAGCAAGTACAACAGCTGTTCAGAAAAAATTAATGATCCTGGATGGTCAAGTGGGTGGAACAACATACCCGGAGGGCGCATCTGATCAAATAGATCGTGAAATTATGTTAATTTTTGTACTACAAAAGATCTAAAAACATTTCAACATATTACAAACAGTGTTAGACAGTACCTTGCCAACGTCTACCGCTTTTTACTTTGTGGATTTTTTTACCCCTAGTTACTGTCGATGCGTCGAATTTCATCATTCACGGCCACAGAGCTGCTTTATCTTGCTCATAAGACACGCAAAAACATATACACGCCATCGCTGTATGAAATGTTGCAGAGAAGGGCATCTGAAAATAACTATACATCGTGTGTGGCTTACGCAGAAGATACCCGTTTTAAGAGACTTATAGAGCTGTATAAGAAGAAGAAAATTCTCCAGGAACAGTGTTTTAACCGTTCGATGATTCCTATTGGAAAAGTACGCATAGACCCGGTCAACACTGATAAAAATATCGTATCAACGCTGTACACTTACCGTTATACACAAGAAGTTTCGACCAACCGACCTCTAGGAACAATGATGCATTCAAGCAACCTCTTTTCTTTGCACGTGCAGCCGTCTGTGCAAGCGCAAACACCCATAGCGATACCACTTGATCAGAACAAGCACCATAAACGGTACTATTTGGCTATGACTGAAGAAGAAAAGGAGTTGGATGATTTCTTGGACAAGTTAGAAGAGCGGAATTATGGGAAAAGCCGGTGCAAGAATCTTGTGAAAGATAATTTCCCGATTCTTAACAAAGAAAAGGTGACCGATGCCTTCAGTTTCATAGTTGACAAAGTAACTACCAGAAAAGGTATCAAAGACAAAAATTTGTGGCCCTCTGAATATCAAATTGTGCTCAAGAAAATCAAGGACGAGCTAGGATTAGAATTGTCCGTTGGTGAGGATATGCAGCTAGTACAGGCTGTTTTAAAGGTTCTGATGATGCTTCAAAAATGGATATTCGATAAGAAGGAAATAGTAAAGGCAATTTATTTTAAAAAATTGGTAATAGCCTTCTACGACTTTTATAGAAAGTAATATTTTCTGTGCATCTATTATCTTTCTTGTGCAAACCGATAGGTAAATCGGAAGGAACAGCGAATTTATGATAGATATTCCAAAGCGCTCTAGCACTTGGACATTGCCTTATTTTGTCCTGAATTTGCCTCCTTACGAAAATGTTTTTTTCCTTGCACACAAAAAATCATATAGTTTTGACCAATGTTCTGTTTTGGTGACACGACAAGGCTGTTGTTTAGCATATAGGTATGCACTGATAGTGCACGAGTTTGCCGTGGAATACTGATTTTGATAACTAAAAGAAGAAAATCAGTAAATAATTCTTCACGTTTGCTCTATACCTAGTTTTAAAATTTATGACGGTCATCGCACGCTTTCCAGTTAAATAAGTTGTATTACCACAGGACTTACCTTGCCCGTTTGAACGGACAGTTATTTTGATTCACATTGAGATAATTCCAATGATGAGAGAGATTAGGCTCACTTCGGCTTTTATCGGTGGTGACAAATGATTGGGCAATGCACTTTTAGCCACACTAGTATTTGTGATTCTTGCGTGATCACTCAGTCTCGTAGTAAGACGATTTTGCAGCAATACGCGACTTTCCTTTCTAACAAGCCGTCAATAAAATTTGCATCTGTTTACGGTGCTCTAATCCATACTTGTCCTCAAGGAGCATCGAACGGCGCAGCTAGGCATCTACCAATATAACACCCATGCGATTGATCACATATAAATAATAGATATTGTTTTATACCCGCATAATATGCTACAAGAAGGCTATCGAACATTTAGTGCGTGTACATCTCTGTTGCTCTCCAAGCGGGCAGAAAGAGGTGTTTTTTAAGCATTGTCGATGCGTAAAAATAAATAAATGCCTTTTTGTGAAAATGTCTCCTTTGCACATGCTTTAACTGACAAGTCCGCTCAAATGTTTGAGAAATGAATAGCAACTAATTTCAAAGGGCCTGCTTGATATACTACGTTCGATTAATCTTTTAATCCATGTGTGATGTGCAACATCTACACCCATCTTTCAATTCAAGCTAATCACACAGCAAAAAGTTAATGCTGCTTACAATTATTGACCAATCTGTAAAACACTTAAATAATCAGTTTTATCTCAATAATCCGATGTGACCGTCAATCTTATACTTGAATTCGTAATATATCCTGTCTCTATCCACTATCCTAACAACTCCGTCATAAACAGTTGAAAAACCGCTTTCCAACGGTGAAACCAAAATTAATAGATCAAAATTACGTGCATACTTGTAGGTAAAGCTATTTGACCGATAAATACACACTCCGGTGCTTACGCTGATACCAAAAAGCATCTGAGCTGTATAAAAATCATCAATAATCACGTTGTCAGCAAAAACATACTCTGACTCAAAAATGGTCTCGACTTTCGCTTCTATATGATTATAGTACGCTTTATCTTTATAGAATGAGAATAACTCTCGTAAATTCATAAGCTTCAAAAGTCCTTCTATCATAAATGTAGCATTGGCATAGCTATTCTCGACTACCGCAACTTTTTTGTTGGCAAAAACGTTACTGTCTACGAGTTCAGAAAATTCTTTCATGGGGAGAAAAATTAAAACGTGGAAATCTCTGCACACACAGACTTTCTGATATGGAAGCAAAGCTAAAATTCGGATTTGTTCGCACAAGGTGAGCAGATGCCAGAAAGAGAGCGTTTCTGGTGAGCGCGATTCTCACACTCCCTTGAAACAGGTCTCAGAAACACCATCATGACATGATACAGAGCACACGTGCTAATATGGTGCAAAGGTTTTTGCAGAAAAAAAGAATTGAGCTTCGCAAACCAAGCCTTTAAATCTTTGAAGGAAACGGCTTTACGACAAGAAAGATTCATGGATCAAAGGACAGCGATCATGATTAGCTCATGTGTACCAGAAAGGCATATTTGCTTAGCTGATGCTGTGTGCGATAGTAGTGAAGTGCGTTTTTGGTAAAAAAGGGAAGGATCTTTGGATGTTTTTTTGGTGCTGTATAGGCAACAGTATCGAGCGCATTTTTGCCGTTGAATCAACTATGTCGATCCCCCTCTAAAAATGGTGCAAAACTGATTTATCTATAGCAAATGTTTCTAGCTTTAATATGGTAATTTTTTTTTCGACTATTTTCTCTCGTTGGTGTATCTTACAATAAGGATAACAAAATTAGAGGTTTGCTGGAAAGTGTGTTTTGTTATACCTGTTGTTCCGTGATGAAGGGCCGAACATGTCTAAAAAGAAGGACTAACAACGTTTTCTATAGGTATGGAGGATTTTATTCGCTAAGAATAAGCAATACGTTTATAGAACCCGCACACTCACGTGGCAAAACATTCAAAGGATATAATCGATGTTTTTATGTAAGTTTATTGCCAAAGAGAGCAGAGTTGTGCCATGCTTGGCAAAACAATAATCCAAGTATAGCATCAACCTGCAGAGGAGAAATAAATCAATCTAGTTACAACATAAGATTCTCTTGAAAGACCTTTAATTAAGTTATTGTAAGTCTATCTATAATCATTTATTACACCCAAGAGTTCTTACGTCCAGAAAAACAACGAATCCGCTCATTATGGCTATAACCATAAAGTTGTCAATTAGAAAAGCATTAACGATGCGAACAGCACCATCAAAGTCGCTATCAGACTTGTTTTTACAAACAGATAACTCATATTCTTCAGAGCATATGAAGTAGTACTCCTTTCTTCTAATTATCTCAAATATTTTTTCTGCACAAACCTTTCTCTTCTTTGTTATTGAATTGGTGGTTACTACACCATCATATGTTCCTGAGATTATCAATTTCTTGACATTTTCCGAGCAGCATACGAAACTGCTGTCCAGCGAACACATCTTTCTTTTCTGATCGTCCAGATAAATTAGTTTGGTAGTGCCCATGAACGAGTCACAAACAAGCAGGCCGTCGATATCGCTGAGATAAATTATGTTGGTTATTCCTGCATGTGTTAATATCTCTTGCTCGTTTCTAAAGTTCTTGTCACAATACGTAATCTTTCCATTAGCGTTCAAAAGATACAATTCCTTATTTGACGTGTTCCGCGCCTCCATAGCTATTATGGGGAACTCGAATTTGGTAGATGTGGCTATGATGTTGGGACCCTCAAATTTGTAGAGATAAAAACCATCGGTCGCCACAATCCCATCGGTGTTAAAATTACCCAAAATGACAAAATTCGTGATTTTCTCTTGCTGGTATTGTACCAAAACCTGATCATCTTTGCAATAACGCAGGAACCCATCGTTGAACAAGGCCAAGTAAAAAAAGTATTCCTTTGCATCGACAAACTTGATCTTTCTTACAAATCCGTAACTGTGCGTAAATTCCCTTATTTGACTTTTTTTACAAAAAAACGCTATTTTACATTCTTCTCTATAAAATTCAAACATCTTGCTTTCTCTTCTGCTAAAACCTCTATATGTCACACAAAAATAATCTGTGTGTTTTTCTGCTGCCGTGACTTCACTCTTAAAATTCACACATTTGAAGTTTTTATCCTCAAAACTTTCAAAAACATCGTATTTTGCACCTCTATAGTAAATTTTTGATGGTAGCGAATCAATTTGGTCCGAGAAGTCCGTAACAGAAATATCCTCTTCTAGAAGATTGTTGTATTCTAAAACATTCATATCATTTCTTCTGTGTCTTTTTTTGCGTATATACAGTTCTTTATCCATCGAGAAAGTAAATGTGTAGAACTGGTCGGGCGAAAAGATCGAATGATGAGTTACGCCTTCAAGATAAAACTTATCGACTATTGCAAACTTTCGGCATAGCAGGCCTCGTATAAGTTCGTAATCAATATCTAAGTTCCTATTTCTGCAATAGCTGTCGAATAGCGTAATGAAAGAGTGCAGATAGGTCTGACAATGATATTTGTACGCCATAACTGATTTAAAATGCTTGCCACATCCTGGAATGCCACAGAAAATTAAATCTGGCTTATCAATGTCATTGATTTTCATCACACCATTCGGATACACAAAACACATAACATCCTTCAGCAAATCGTTCTCTCGCATCACAATCGACAAGTTAACGCAGTTGTCACTTGCATTAAGCTCCAAATAGTTTATATTTGTTGTCTCGTATGTCTTTTTTATTCGCACCAGCGTGTCTTTAAGCTGTGCCACCAATCGCGGCGCATGTTCCTTTTCGAAATGACTGTAAAGGAAATCCGTATTATCGAGCTCGCATATCGACATATCGCATTTCCTAACGGGACATTTTAACGAGTATCCAGCATTATAGTATAAATTGTGGTCGTAATGAGAAATATGTCGTCTTAACCCGAGCACGCTATCGTAAAATAAATCACATCTACTGTGCAAACATTTATAAACCAGGTTAATTTTTTTCTTCTTGCAAAAGTTTCTTCGGTTCTTCATCTACCGTGCAAAGGGTCGTGGCAATTTAACAACTCAATTTTTAGTTGTTGTTCATCTTTTTGGCATCTAAGTCAAAAAGATGATTAAAACCCGTGTTTTAGAAAATAATAATTAAATAACAATTTAAACAAAATCGGGATGTTTACGAACCGATATTTTATAAATAAAACATGTAAAAATGCCTTCATGTACAATTAATTGAGGGGACAAACTTTCCTGGATTACAAAACGCCTGTAATCGAACTCAGGGCACAACTTGAACAGCCGCGTCATCTGAAGCTGTGATCAAAGATCAACCTCCGAATCAGATACTAGTGCATTAAAGCTTTATTATGTAAATTTCTTCGTGGATCATACCAATAAGAAACATACTCATAATAGAAACAGTATGAAATATATGGATCGCTGAATATTTACGGCAAAGTTAAGCGTGAAACGACAAAAACAGAGTATTGTTATGGATAAAAGCTGCTTTAAATATAGGTATGTATTGGTTAATATGTAAAATATTGAAGAAAACATTATACCACGTGCAAAACAGCAAAATTTAAATATGTACATATAAAACAGCAGTTCTAACAAATATCACAGGCAATTGTGTCATTGTGTATGAAATGTACTTTAATGATATCTTTGTTTCTTTTATAGGCCTTTTGAAAATGTCTTGGCTTTCAAAAATTTTTTATCAATCTGGCTGACAAGCTTGGTTTCAACGTGTATTTTGAGTAACTATGCGCTACAGCAACATTAAAGCGACACATCATGGACATTAGTGTTATACAAACATGTATTTTCGCATTTATTCAACAAAATATTACCGAAGAAAAAACACCAACAGCATGTGATCCAGTTAATGTACTGCCGAATCGGATGATGACTAACATCGTGGTTCAGTGCCCGAATCGGAGCGACGGATAAAAATACAAATCATTGCTATTTGCATAAAATCGTTCAAATGGCTTTAGAATTCATCAACTTGGCGGTAATTATTTTATTCACCACCGTACTTCCAGTGTGTTTTCAGATGGACGGTACGGAAGTGATATTTCAGTATTCAATGAAAACATCCCATTGCTTTGTGCATTTCAGGCCTAAACATTTACGAAACACAAACGTTCATGAAAGTTGTTCGGCCTTGCATATAACTACAATTCAGGAATAATCTCTCAAACAAGAGCTATTTGTTGGAATCGAGGTTTTATCCAGATTCAGGCGTAACTATGTGTCTGAAGAAAATGAACAAAGTAAATGTGATGGCACGATTTTCTGTCGGATTTTGATCGTTTTATAGACAAGAATATGTTCGTGATCGTGGCGCCGGATCAGGTCGAAGTATGCTGTATCATAATAGCTTCATTTTCGTGCAATCAATGGAGAAACAGTGATATTGTGGCAAAAGCAAATTAAAAACTCTTTTTGTAAATTTTGTTTTATAGTAGGTGTATAAAAATTTTTCCAGATCTTTACGTTCAGGAAGCGCGCGTTTGAATTGATATCAAGTTCAATGAAGTACACAGTACTAAGATGTATTTAGAATAGTAAATTGGTGATAGAATTGGTACAAATGACACTAAAATATCATATTTCTATTTTTTGATGATTTTCTGTTAGCTATCAAACAAAATTCGAAATGCTCGACTGGACCATAACAAGTAATAGGTATATATTGATCATAAATGATGTGTTTGCGCGCCATGAGAGGTAATAGGAACCTTGTGAAGTTAAGCTATTCATCATTGAATGGAACAATAGTTCGTCGACCTATTTTTGGTACAAAATTCTTTCCACGCAGCAATAATTAAAAAAGTGTCACATAAACCTATCCTGTCCCAGCGGACTAGCCAAATGCGTTGTTGTATGAGAAGATAAATAAACGCGCTTCAATAAAAGAATATATAAATATATCGGATAACTTTATGGAAATAAATTTCGTTTTAGACGAGAATTATACTCGAAAAGGCAGGCTGGTACATTTAAAGCTTTGAATTGAGCTATTTCATTATTTTTTTATCAGAGACCTCAGCACGTATAGAACAATTCGTTCAGCGACACTTGATCGAATAATAGTAAAAAATGGCACAAATTTATGAGGTAAACTACCATAAACTTCATCTTCACACAAAATTCCAATAGTAAGCTATAAAATATTTTTAGCATATAAACGCGTGTCTGTATAGTAATTTTAGTTAATAAATACTGTGGATGACGGATGGTTCCGTTGTTGTAGTAGTTCTGTTAAAATATTTTTTTAATTCCGCCCTGCATGCGACCCAAGAAATCGAAAAAAGTTAGAAAGGCGCTCCAAAAACTTCAACGCAGTTTTTCCTTTAGGAAGCCATTTCAGTTATTGTTCGATGATGCGCTTATGGCGCATTTAGACAAAGTGAAGTTTCCAATCACCGTCATAAATAACACTTTCGACTACCCGAAGTTATTCACAAGCCGCTGTTTGTACAGGAAATACCATTCAATGGATAACAAAAATGCGGTAGAAAAGGAGGAAAACTCCGCAAATGATCATCAAACAGATGAGAATGGTGAACATGAATGTGACAGCATGGCTAATAATTCGTCAGACACAGCAGGGACACTAAATATAAATGATGGTGTGACAAGAGGAAACGCGAATTTAACGAATAATCAAAAACATGCAGCCTCAAAAACGAAAGACAGATTTGTAAAACACATAGAAATCAGAAATTGCTTACATAAAGGCGATGTTGATCCCACCGAATGTATGAAAAGGTTTGTTAGGAAAAGCAATGCAAAGCATTATTTACTGGGATGTGTATCAAACAGTAGTAAGTACAAAGATTTAAAGAATGTGCCTTTGGTCATATTTAGGAGAAATGGTACGCTCTTGCTCGATACAGACAATTTTGGCAGAAAAAGCAATAGCGAGGAATAAGGCGTCCTCCGTGTGAGATATTACACCAAATGGTTGTCATAATGATAGGTATATAATTTATAGCATTTAACTTCTTAACAAGACAGCTTTATTGTTTTGTAAAATGGCGGTATTGTTTCACCACTGGAAAAAGTTTAGTATTTTAGAATAGAAAACTCATAAACTTATGATTAGCACACAAACCACGAATCACACACGTTGAGCAGAGGATCTCTACTTATTAAAATTGATGAAGGGATGTGTTTTTACAGTAACCAGTGTGCAAATACATTTTACGTAATTCTATACTTATTTTCTGTGTATGCAATCATTAAACGTTTACTGGCCAGATTATTCTCGTCGAGAAAATAGAGCAAAAACATTCTGCCCCATTTCGTATCCATTGCTGAAAATCGTCACTTTGTTCTATTTACGACTACATTCTATTACCGTACATTTTTGGGAGGGCTAAATAATTTATTTTATTGAATCGATCAGCCACCTGTAATCCCTTCCGTCCATGCTTACTGATTGCTTTGCCGGTGTTCGAGACGAACCTACATAATTAGCCAATGAAATTGCTAGTTTTTATTCTCGTCTTTGTAGAAGGCGCAAACAAGAGTTTTTGCTTTTGTATGGACATTTCTATTCCTTTTCGTTCACAAAACTGTTCTAGTTCAACATTATGTAACCGAAGCACCGAAATTTGTGATCTTTTCAACTTTTCACTCACAGTATCTAGGCCAAAATGTCACAAAATTGAGATGATATGAAGGATGACCGGGTTGGTATCAAACAAAAATTAGCTCCTTTGTTCACGGAAAGATCTGACCAGAACGGTGTTAGTAAAAAAATTTGTGGAAATATTCAAGACTCAAATTTATAAATAGACGATTCTTGATCAAAAATTCCAAACACGGGCGTTTACCTCGAATAAACATATCAAAAGAAGATGAGTTCTGGTAATAAGATATGAAACTTGTTGAGGACGAGCGGAAAATGGTTGTTTTCACGGGAAATTTAGAGTTATTACTATCATGGATGGATTATGAAATAATTTGCGGAGATTTCAACTATTGGTACGTTTTGATATCTGAAATAGATCCAATGCGCCCAAACACTAATAGTTACAATCCGTTCCAGATTAACTATCCTGGAAAGGAGGCATCACGCCAGAATCTGCTAAACAGACAGAAGATAAAAATCGAAAATTGTTCGAATATGACATACAGTTGTTTGAAATAGGGATGTGTAAATTGGAGTTTCGCTGTGGTTCGGAATGCAGATACAGATTTATTTTGTCTTGATTGAGAACCGCAGTACTATTGTAATTATGTGCAATACGCAACATCAACAATGTAACGCTATATAAGTGAATAAAAAATACGTGTTTGATATGCGAGGTCTTGTATAAGTTGTAATACATTCACCGTTAGCGCATCATACAGATGATCATAACTCATTTATATGAGAAAGTGACATGCCTATCACATTTTCCACCGGATTTAGAGAACAGTCCCACGAACAGATGTTCCAGCCTTGAAGGAATACACACATGCCCATAAGTTGTTAAATATGAACTGACGTACATTCGCAACAGCTTACATTTGTATCATGTACTAATATAGAAGTTTTACTGTTCTTGTAAATTGTCTTCAATGTGTCATGGTTGATAGCAAGTCCGCCTTATCATGTGCACTGCACAATAAATATCAAAAGGAGAGAAAATTGTAGAGGGTCAAATGTCAAAACCAGAATTGTGCACAGAAAAAGAATCATCCAGCCGTAAAGTTGAACCTGATGTTAGCCATGGACTTATTAAGAAGGATAAAACAGAAGAAAGTTCTATTAGTGAATATTCTGAAACGGTAAAACTGGATCCAAGTACAAACATTGGGGAAAATGATTTAAGTATCCGTGAGTTGGCTAGTGAATTTGAAAAAAAGAGCAAGTCAGCTAGTTCGGCGAACAAATTTATTACTAATCTTCTTTTAATCATCATCTACATCATCATATGGTTTTACTTTCTCAGAAACGTAATATATGACAACGCTACTACCACAGTATTTGATAGTGCGAATAAAACCGCAAGTCAGATATTCTTAGTAACATCAGCATTTATTTTGGTGTTGGCAGCTTCTTTTCTGCTCATGATCGATTACCGTAAGTTGATGTTTATCATTCATTCCAGGGTGTATTCATACCACTTGATGAGGTTCTCTTACAACCATCTAGCATTGCTTTTACGAAACTATGAATTGGTTACAAGGATCAGAAGTATGTTCTCTGAGAATCTCTTGTTCCACATGAGTATGTTACTGTTCACTCCATTTATTTTTATCCTTCTATATTTGATATTTCGTAACAGTGCCAAGAGCGTAGCGGTTGTTCTGATACATACCAATTTCTACGGGTTCAGAAGTGTTTTGTTTCACTGCTTTTTGGATTTATTTGTGTCTGTTATTGACGTAGTTCTAATTTTTTTCGTCATTGAACTCAAGAAAGCGTTCAACATTCTCGATTACGTATCGTTATTTCTTTTGGGAATCATTCACTTCGCTTTTGTTAAATTCTACGTCATAATATCAACCGTTGAAGTTTTGAAGCGAAGAAGCAGCAATGCTAACGATACTCAGTACAAAAACGTGACAAGCGTTGATAAATCGTCAAGAGAAGCCACAATAAGTGATGTATCGGAAAGTAATGAACCCGGAACTGAGTTATTCGGTACCAAAGACCGCAAAAATCTGTTCTGTAGTGTCGTGTCATCAATTGCCTCTAATCTATCTTTCATCACGCTTTCGTGTGTGTTCAGCCTGTTTAGTGTATTTAGATTACTGCCATTTGGCATAAACAAGAGAATCAGAAAATCTGTTTGGCAATATTTCTGCTATAACTTAATTTTTACGCTGGTTGTCTCCGTTTATGAGAAAATAGATTGTTTTGATACCTTTAAGTACAAAAACAAGAAACTTGGCAACCTTTTAAAGGCGTATCAACCATATAAATTCAACATCCCCTTTCTTGTTTCACTAGCGTTTTCTATGGTGTACATCTATGGCCCAGAATCCACAATAAATAAGAGCATCATCTTTTACTTTCTCCTTAGAACTGGAATCGCTCTTAACGACTTTATTTACGCCTATGGATTGTACTTCATTTATTACCATTATAGGAACAGAGAGTAGACGAGATGTGCCGAAACAGGGTCCTTCCATACCAATTAAAATAGTTCATTCCAAACAGACTCACTTTTTCATCTAAACTTGCGACAAGATTGACTAATTTAAGCACAAAAATATATGTCGTCACATCCAGACCTGCTGCACATGCCTAATTGATCAAGAAGATTTTAATTAATTAATTAATCTCTTCTTTGGAAAATTGATACGCTTCTCACCGCTATTCTTTCTGTTGGTTGTTCGAGGATATGTCAGCGAGTTCTTCTCACCTGCAGCTCCGAAGTACCTGTAAGCCTTCCTCTTCGTTCTATCGCCACACACCAATACAACATTCTTGAGATCACTAGACACTTTAAACAACTTATCTAGCGTGTATATCTCACCTCCAAACTTTTTAACCTTCCTTCTGGCCTCTCTCGATGCAGTCAAGGCCACAATCGTCAATTTAGGCAAAGTGAACACACGTTCACTGTCCAAGACCTTGCCAACGACCACGATAACCTTACCAGCATGTTCTGCTAGCCTTGCTACCTTAACGGGTTGCCTGTTATTCCTCGACATCGTCAGCCTTTTTGCTATAGCGTGGATATCTTCATTTTTAGTGTTCTCCGATATCTTTTTAAACAAAGAAAAAAGCGCTAAGTGCTGGGGATTACGACTACGGGGCTTCCTTGCAGCATCAAAGAGTCTGAAGTTCTTCCTGTGGATCGTCTTTATCTCAATTAAAAATCATCACTTACCATTTTGCTAGGGAGGGCTGGCTTTAAAAATTTTTTAAAGAAGATGAGCCACAGTGGGGAGAGCGGTAAGTAATGGATAAGATATGCATTTGTCTTCATAACCAGGGGGTGAGCGACTATAATCAGTTCTGGCAGACTAGAAAAGTGTGTTTATATAAGTGGTATGGTGTGTAAGTGGATCGATAAACGATTTTTGGTAAAACAGAGAGCTTTACGCTGAAATATGTGGTTATTGACAGAAATTTGGACATTTAAGCTTTTTTTAGCTGAGTGCATGGTATTATTTGGTAGAGACACATCCACTAACATGTTAATAAATTCAGTTCGATCAAACAGAAAAGCTTCAACAGCACGCGTCATTTATCACGTGTTTTTATTACAAAATAACAGTGCTATTTTTGTTTTACAATATAACAAAGCTTGATTATCTGTCAAACAACATCCCTCCTTTAATATGTCATGTTATATTTTCGCTTTCACTTTTTTCGAATGTTTTAACAAAGATAAAATAATAAATTTTCATTCTGTCATCATGTCCTTTCGATGTTGTTTATAAAAACAGCTGAGAGCGTATCAGAAAAAATGGATTAAACAAGAATTTAAACTCTTCATTTTGTGTATAGATGAAAAAAATTTTGGCCTTTCTCATGTTGGTTGATCAGTTACCAAGTTGTTTTTTTATTCAATTGAATTGTAATTATGTACTCTTGCGCATTAGTACCCCTTCGAAATGACCTTCTTTTTTTCACCAAAAATTGTTTATTTATCTCCACATACCAATAACATAATAAATTTCTTAGTTTGAAGATCTTACACGAAAGAGCACTTTGATGATTTTTTATGTGTCCTACCTACTGGAAAAGTTCTCTACGTAATAAAAGTCAACAATTTCTGTAAACAATGATAATTACTTGGTGTATATTCGCTACTGATATCATTCGTTACTCCTCATTGAGTTATCACTGTTTAACTTGGCTGTTCCACAGTGCATTTTCGTATTTCAAAGTGTTAATACCAACGCGCGCATCGGGAAAAAATTTACGTATTGATATTTGCCTATATTTGGAAGGAATGCCAACGAATGTTGTTCTAAGCAGTTAGACAAGATAAATGTAGGATACAGATAGGTTATTTGTTATAAATATGGAAATATATTGGGTGGATTTAGTCTGGTAGAAATACTAAGCGGTAGAACAGGGAATAAACTAAAAATATTGAACAGGACGAGCTACTGATTCTGGCTGTGGAACACTTCTTCTTTTAACATTTCTGTGCTCCTTTGTTCTTCAACAACCTTTCATACTCTCCCAAAGACAGTTTCCTAAAATGGCACAAACAGTTATGAGAGTGTTTAGGCCTTTTTTAGTTGTACCTAGTATCACAGCATCCTTTGATAATTTCCTCAATATTACGCTTTAATCAGCTTTTTGATCCTATGTACTAGAACAATACTCAAACATAGATTTTATTAGTATGTGAAAATTGATTCGGTATAAAATTACGGGATGTTGTGCGAACTTTGGTCAACATTAAACACATGGATTATGTAAAGCTATTTCATGTGTCATCGAGAGAATGAATTTCTAAACCAGAAAATGTTATATTTTTGCTCCACAACATGTCGTAACTTACTCCATACTTGCGCTAGAAACAGCGTAGCACCATAATTCTAGTTTCATCTTGCGGTGTAAACTGCTTAACATGCCAAAAACTAGACCGATGACCAAAAATTGGAACGTGATATTTATATGGCACGGCTGTGCATTGTTGTTAATAATGTTCGATAACAAGATTTGAAAAAAATTTTGAGCAAATTACATCAATTATGGCAAGTGTGCTGCTAGCAAACCTGCGTTATTGAAGGATGGCAACTTGGATTGGCCACAAAAACGGTAACCTTCTCTTCATGCACACGAATAATATCAAATAGATTATATAATTAAATTTGTGGCATATATCAAGTATTAGAACAATAGGTGGACTACCAATATGCTTTGTTGGTGAGCTGCAAAGGAAACTATTAAAAAAATAAATAGTACGTCTAAAAATGTTATAAAATGATGATAAATCGTTTATTTAGATAAATGCAGTTTAAAGAAAATACTTTATGTATCATACGCTTTATTCATCGCACATTCCTTCTTTATGGACAGCGCCCGCATCGGTGTTAGTGATCAATAATTTTATTACGAGATCGAATTATCATTAAGAAACTTCGGCTCTTCGGTATTTTTAACTAAGAACGTGTCGAAGCAACAGTGGCACTAAATTTTGTTGGAATGATTCAGAAATAGATTCGACGCTAACTTGCGCCATGTTAGTACCTGTTCATCAAAATTCCTGGTAACCAAATGAGTTGTGAACGGTTACCGGCTGTAATTAACGATGAAATTTTGCTTTTTACTTTTTTTGACACTCTGTAATCGATTGTTTGTTGATAAAAGCCCAGTTTCGTATTCGTTGGATAACAACCGTATGATGAAGTTGCTGTGATAAACCATGGCTATTTACGAACCAGAAAATGGCAGAAGCAAATCTATATTTCACAACGACTGTATTCTACGTGATTTTGCGCATTGGAAAGCATACAAAACGCTGGCCGCGAACGGCATCATGTCACATCCACCAAAAAACCTCTTCTAATGCTAAGCATCACGTTAAACTCATGTTATGAGTGTGCTTTAGCAATACTGTGTTCTAAATTTTTTCCGTAAAAAATGATCGATTGTCCAAGTCCATTCAGGTGAAAGATCATAAACAGAAGATCAAGTTTAGTGATTTATAAAAAAGCTGTTGTAACGGCACTACTAATACGGCACTTGGTATTCATTTTCGTAGGATTTAGTACAAAATACTCTGCACGCTATGGTTTTACGTGCAATCAAATAAGCACAAAATTTTTAATTTCTGTCGCAATTTATCAGTAATCTCCCTTTTTTAAAGTCAAAGTTTCTACTGGTGTCAAATTATTCCAAAATTAGTTTGTTATTTTCACTGTTCTCAATACGAAACTAAAGATATTTGGTGATTACTCTGCTGGTAGAATTTAATTTTGTTTATTTGCAATAATAAATTTCTGAAATCAAACTATTTGCATGTTTACCAGTTGTTTATGAATCATGTCGGTGTATTTATACCAAATATTTTCGTGTTGCTATCCATCTCTGGCTGAATGACAGTTAATGATAGATTAAAAGACTTGTATCTAAAATCGTACTCTTTCCTAATAAGGTCTAAGTTATCCTTTGTAGTTACTCCTGGATATTCTTGGATGAATATGGCTAATCTTGCTAAATTACCTCTTAGGCATTCTCTTGGTGACACCGGCAGGTAACAACACAACACCATTCGGATGAAGGATGCAAATTTTGGTGTACTTTCTGAGTGATATGCATGTTCGAACCTTTTATATTTATCTATCATCGATGATAAATAAGTAATTTGTTCGGTCTACATCAGCAGTAAGAGTGCTACTCATTCCCGTTTCATCAATAGCTCGACTTGAGCATAACCTTTTCATTATGTATGAAATTGATGCCGATTAGTTCCAATTTCTCTATCTCCCGAGTAACTTACACGTCACAAAACAAAACATTCGTTAAGAGCACTCCACAGCGTGGACAAATTACCGAGTGACACGCTGGCAATTATCACGGTCCACCATAACCATACCTTCAAAGTTCCTTTAATTATATGCCTACAGAATACACACATGCTCATCGAAAAAATCTGTTATAAACATCTATTGATACGTGCTTTACTCCCTTTTTGAGCAAGCTAAGTGCGACCACACAGTCCATTTCATTTCGACCCAGCGGATGGTCGTTCCTCACTACATTTTTGTTCCCATGTCTCTGATACATGTGGTATTTTTTTCTCTCACCGTGTTTATTTCTTGAATTTTCACCCGGACAGATTTCGTGTTTCCCCAAATAAATGAATGACATTGCGTACCCACTTTCTGCTCCTTTATATAGATAAAAAGGATTAATAAGATATCTAAAATGTCAATAAGTGATTAGAAAATCAGAATTTGCACCAGGTTGATTACATTTTCTTTTATTGATTTATTAGCGAAAATTGGAATGATAAATTTGAGGTCTCATTTTTGTTTTAATTACATTGAAGCCGAACAATGCGTAAAACCCTGCTGCGTATTAGGCATTTTAATACCTAGCTTCATTCCGAACACTTGTTACTCATCCAGAACTTGATCAATGGCCAAGTTTTCTCGCTAATTCGCTTTCCACCAAGTATTATAAATCCATTTCAGAGTATCAATAATTTTTTTGCCAGGTTCCACCTTTTGATTCTGCTGGTGTTGTTTTTTAAAATTGAACACTATCAAACATAATTGGCGTAAAAATTGATTAAACTGTGTTTTCCTACGGTGTAATGTTTCTTGTGCTGGTGTTTATCGCTAAATCTCGGAAAAATGTGTCAAACATTTTTTTGTGTAAATTTAAACATATATTGACAGTTGATATATCTTTCGTTTTACGAGACTTGTTTGTACAATGTTTCCTCCACGCAATACAAACTTTCATATCATACATTAGACTTTTCCCAATTTGTCTGACTCAACAGAATATATTTAGCGTTATTCGCTAAACATTAAATAAAAATGATAAAACATGTGCAGTTACATCAACATTTTTGCACTTAGAGGTGTTAATTACAGTTCTAATGATGATTAAGCACTTAGTAATATATGATTGTACATTTAAGGAAATAAATTGCTTTCGACACGTTAAAATTTGTTGATCACGGTGATCTTTGTTTTTAATCAGCATTTAGACACATAAGTACTTTCGATACCGGAAATGCTAATCAATCCACAGGTGACAGAATATATCATAATGTCGCAGACAATGTAAAGCAAATTACTGATTATGGGTAAAAAAGAGCCACAAGATGCTAATCACAAAAATAAAGCATTGTAATAGATAGCAAAAGCACTATGAGACATATTTATCTTGTATACAAGAACAATTGTGTAAACATATCTATCAAACACATTAATATTCTTATTCAAGAACAGGTATATCAATTTATACCTGTATGGTATTCACCGGTCTATGCACCGGATAAATGTTTGAGTATTCCAGGTGATATACGAAAATCCTGATTAATCATGAGATGAGCTTTTTAGGCGCGAAATTGCCACACTAGCTATTATTTGTAGATCAGCCCTATTTCTTCACCTTTTACGTTCTAGCACTTAAAATTACCATCCTTAGGGTACGGAAATGATGCTTAACATATTGGAAATTAACTAAAAAACGAAGCAGGGAAAAGCAATCAAAATATGAGCAAAAAGTTATCTGTTAAAAAATGAAATATGGCGTTTCTCATAGGTAAATAGACAGGGTGTAATCAATTATTAATAGTTATATTCCACTAGTGCTTCACATTCACTCAAAACTTATAAAATTGTTATAGACATACCAATGTTCATGTTGCCTTCGCTTCATATTGAGGAGATGTTTGAGATCCACCAACTTGTCCACCAGAAAAGTGCGTTTGTTTAAGCGATATGATATATGAGATGCAGAATAAACGACTTTTAGTATAAATACTGATAAACTACTATTTACAGTTTACTCGATATCTAAATATCGATCTTTTACCTCCTCAGTGCTAACGACAAAGATACTAGATTTTCTTTCTGGTCCGCTGAAGGTGTCTGTCATAAACAACGGCTTTTAGCTCCCTGAATTGTGTGTTATCCTAAAATTTTTTGACTCTTATAAAAATTGTCTGAATACCTGATAAATACATTTTCGTCCAGTTAAAGGCACCTGGATGTCATTTAGTTGACATAACATTTACTAAATTGGCAAGAAAATACAATTCCTTTGTCATAACAAGTCAATCGATAGTCCATCATTGTAAAAGAAAAACCTGTCTGTTCCATTAGACGAAAACCGCAAAGCTCAATGATGATACGATTCTATGCTAAAAATCCAACAATATCATCGATAACACGAGTTGCAATCTACTTGGTACGTTTTTGATAGATGAATGTAAAGAAGTTGTTGTTTTAATTCACACTAGAAAATAAAGGATGGTCAATTATCAGTAAATTTTGACTAATTAGGTAATGAATCAGTTACGCGAAATTAATGTCCTAATAATTATAATCGGATAATAGACTAATAGTGGCATATTTCTCATTCTAAGGATATATAATTTGTATTAGTTCTGTTCATTAGGATACATTTCTGCCGTTGTTAATACTGAAGAGAAATGCTTACCTACACATGCTTTGTGAAGGATATTTCGATATAAAAGACATCCAAAGGAACATAATTTGGAGCAAGAAATTGATTATATGCGCTATGAGGCCTTTTTAATTTAATATTAATGAAATACTCGATCGAGATGCATTCGTACCAGGATTCTATTATGTCCTTTTAGGGAATTACAAAAAATGCTATGAATACCAAACACGTGTTCAAGCATTCAGAGAATATTTATAGGTCTTGTATTGTTATACAATGGCCATTATATACAAGTTAGTCACATTCATCAGTGCATTTCTGCATATATACTGTAGAAACCGCCATCTTCCACATAAGATGATGAGCCAATAGTAACAAAAGATAAGTTTGAGCAGTTTTCATCCACGATGTCTCGCCAGATCAACGTGCAGGAAAGGAACAGCTGCCAATTTAATTGAACTGGGTGAGCTGACTGCGAATAGCTCAACTCAATGCTTGAGAATTGCGAATGGCACTATTTAAAATGTCTGGTCTATATTTTGGCCTTTCTAACAGGTATAAAAGAAGTGCATGAAACTTTCTTTCGTACATTACGCACAGATTTGTTATTTATAGAGCGTAGAATACTCTTTCAATTTTTCACTCTTCTTAACTATTCTTTAGGTAGAAACATTATGGATATCAACCAAATGCTGTTGTGCCATCTCTTATGATATTACCAGATGATGATCATAGTAGCATCCAATTAAGGCTTGATACTAGATAATTGCTTTGTCTGTCGATCATAGTCCATCTTGTACAGTATTCTTTTAGAACTAGAGGAAATCGGGCCCCTAATTCGAAATGTCAATCCGGTACAAGAAAGATTTGGGTCAGCATATTTTGAAAAATCCGGGTATCATAGACACCATTATAGAACGAGCGAATATTCTGGAGACCGATACAGTGCTTGAAATAGGCAGCGGCACGGGCAATCTCACGATAAAATTGCTTGCCAAAGCCAAAAGAGTAATATGCTACGAGAAGGATGAAAGAATGGCTGCTGAGCTCGTTAAAAGAGTTAAAAGCTTAAATCTGTGCCATAAAATGAAGCTCTTTGTGGGTGATTGTATGAAGAGCGACTTTCCACATTTTGATCTATGTGTGTCAAACATTCCATACCAAATCAGCAGTGTTTTGATATTCAAACTGTTTGGTTATAATTTTAGAGCAGCTGTCCTTATGTTGCAACATGAATTTGCGCTGAGATTAGTTGCGAACCCAGGAAATCCGGACTATTCCAGATTAAGTGTCTCTGCACAGCTTTTCTCAAAGGTCGAGTACATGTTTAAAGTTTCAAGAAAAAATTTTAATCCGATGCCGAAGGTGGAGAGTGCCGTGGTAAGAATACGAAAGAGACTTGAACAACCAAGCATTAACATTGAGGAGTTCGCGAATTTCCTGAGAATTTGTTTCAAACGGAAGAACAAGACGCTCAGCGGTGTTTTTGGAGACAAGTCGGTGATTAAAACGGTGAAGAAGGAAAAAAGAGAAATTGCTGAGATACTAAGCGTATACGGTACTAAACGAGCTAATAAGTTGCAAGTTGAGGATTTTCTGCAAGTGTTTTTGAATTTTAAGCTAAGACAAACTGTTTTTGTGTGATAGTCTTATAAAAAGACCCGAATGATTGTTGCACCGGCGTTATGATTGATTTTTACAATACATTAATTAAATTGAGCATTGATCCATTCTAAACAACAAACATATGAATACATATCGCATCTCGGCGGAATTGCTGTTACTATTACATTCCGTTGTATCAAAGACTCCGTTGTGTTGCTGTATAAAAGGCTGCTATTGCTCGGGTTCGAACCGAGGACCTTATCCGTGTAAAGGATACGTGATAACCACTACACTACAACAGCTGCTGCACTCAACGAGTGATACTAAATATTATATTATTGCTATGTGGTTCAGTGCGTATGGATCACTTTTCTGGGTAGTTCTATACGGAGTAAACTTGCTATGCGGATTCTGTTGGAACATACATACATAGCTTAGTTTTCAAGCAATTATCGAAAGTAAATCTACTACCGAAAGAAATATGGATAAATATCTTCACGATTATGATGAAATTGTCGTGGTCCTCCATTGATGAAAAATACGGTTAATGATCTCCGAAACTAGAAAAACAGCTGTGACAAGAAAAATGCGATCAAACTTGTACGATACTAGAGCCTCATCCAGTACCCGATATATAATCGGAAGTCATGAACCGTTTCAAAAAGAATACCAACGTAGAGCCAACAAACTAGTTTTTAAAAAGGATTTCAGTAGAAATGTTATTGACAAGTATCTTAGAGATAATGATCAGCGCTGAGAGCCACTGCAGTATATTTGCTTGATCAGCATTTGTTTAATGTTACATTAATGTCTGCTTAGGTTTCATGAATCGTTTTGGGCAATACCAATGCAAGTATTCATCCATTTGTTAGCATTAAATATTCGTGTGCCTGCGCAGTACTTGTCTACGTATTACTTGGTACCTATACATTTTCATGCCATCCTACTTTTGATCATATTGTAAGACCATAACACCATATTCTGCAACTCACTGCTCATGGCGTATTTATTAACTATCATATTATCCAAATAAACACACTATTTTGAACCAAACCAGTAGTTTAAACACAAAGTATTCGCTGCTTATTCTCTGGGTAGTACGCCTGGATTAAATTTTTACTAAATACAATTCCTTACACGAAACCTATTAATACGTCATTTTGCATCTTTAATAACGCCATGTTTGTATTTTTCAGCAATAATTAGGTTTGATCTAGTTAAACGACGATCTATAACCAGCCAAGTAATCAAACAAGATTTAATCCGCAACATCCTTTATTTAAATAACAATTAATGACAACGATAAGTGCCCGTTAACTTATCATATTCACATGTTTCGGCACGACTACTACGCTTAACAACGGTTTCTTTAGTGTTTGAATGCACAAGCTTATCAAGATTGTCGCCTATCGATTCCTGGAAGCCTCGGGTGCCCCTCATAAATTCTTCATCCTCTTTTTCGAATGTCGATGTTCGCTTGCTCGTAGTCTCGTGTGTGTTTGCTGGTCGAATCGCCTTAACGGGTGTCTTTGTTTTAATAATTGCTGTATCCTGCTCGGCCTCTACCACTTTCGGGGCATTAACTATCTCTGTGGTCTTGACAGGATTTACAAGTGTGACATCCGGTTCTTTTTCCACAACTAACCTCTTTGTTGCCGCTGGTTCCTGCTCCATAATGATTTTCTTTGTCTTAGCGATCGGTTTTTCTTTAATTACAAGACTGCTGGGTTCGGGTTTTTTCACCACCACCTCCTTTTCCACAACAGGCGACGCGATAACCTTCCTTACTACCGGTGTGGCGTGCTTAACTATTTTCTGTTCCTCAACAACTTGCACGTCAGGCTTTACCACCTCAGGCTCAACCTCAACACTCCTGACAATCTCTCTGGGATTGTGCGCAACCACAACTTCGTTTCCAGTGAGAATCTCTTTGGCTGGTTTCACAGCATTCCTTCTTTCCAATGTGAGTACTTTCATCTTCGGTGATTCAACTTCTCTGGTCATCTCCGTTTTTACGGTAGGTACATCCAAAATCTCGCCTTCGGTGTTATTGAACTGTATCCTGAGCACATCAGGACTATCACAGTCTTTAAGCGTCAATTCACTCTCTTGATTCACCCTCTCGATCGTGTTTGTAGGTGCTATACATTTCTCATTCTGGCGAACCAAATATGAAAGTCCCGTTTTGACGAGTTCCCACGTGCTTCTCATCTTTTGTCGCCTACACACCTTCACTCTCTGTTTTGTGTTATCATAGCACAGTCTGCTCCTTCCGAATCGAAGAACGTAGCTGTCATTTTCACGAAACAGTCGGACATTGTGAACATTGCTCGATCTCAATTTGGTCTTGTCCATCAATTTCATGTAACCATGAGAGTTGGCTACAACTTTTGCGGGATCGTTCTCCCAAGCCATATATGTGATCGAACCACCAAGTGCGAACAGGAATTCCGATATGAGTAGAATCAGCATTCGCTTTAGATAAGACCACTGTTTTATACAAAAATATGAAACAAATAAGCTTCATGTTGACGTACAAATGCGCGTGATTCGCAATCATACATTTTTAAAGGATTGTGGGTGGCTGTTCCATCACACAAATATTTCATGCTTTGCACCTCTTTACCTGCAACACCTTCCGAAACATTTGTCTGACAGAAGTACCGAGATGACGTGCTAGCGGTGGTTTGAGTATACTGTTAACGTGATTCAGGATTTTTACTCTTAATTTTACGACGTTATCAAAGAGAATATTTCGTTTGGCTATGGCAGTAAAATGAATGATGTGGCATTCACACATGGATCAATATACGTGATTGCCTCATAAATAACACGAGGTAACGGCGTTGCTTAAGTAGCTAAGAAACTTAGTACACCTGTTAGTTGAATGTATAGCAGCATCTGCTAAAAACGACAGCACATTCCATATTTGGCATTAAAAAATATATCGATTAATTCGTCCGCTTGGTTCCTGAACTTTCTGATCATACGTTGTCCAATAGCTGTATATTTGGAATAACAGTACGATTCTTGTGTTAGGTACATGATACTCCCGTGTTAAAACACAAAATGTTTCATTCACTTCACTGATAGGTTCATAATTGGAATCACATCAGTACGGGTAAAGCGATCTGTTTTTAATACATGAAATGTTTGTAATTACCATTTTATAATTGAATATTAAACTGTAAAACTTTCTTGACCACTATTTTCCATACAATAGCTATAATACGTCTTTATTGTAGTATTCCTGTCATCGCAACACATGGCGCAAGTCTAACCAACCATCTTGTTAGAATTATTACCTGATATACCAACACATTAAATAAAGCGTTCACTTGGAACAACAATTTTAACCATGTTCCTCTCAGAACAAACTCGTTTTTTACAATCCGTTGTTAGGAAAACGCTCAATCATCAAAGAAGTAACAGTGAATGAATGCTCAACTCACAATGGATCGTGCATCAGATATTAATTCATAGTTGAATGGCAATACACCATTAGATTCTAATCCGATAGTTGCTAAGTGCATCGTAGGAAGATACGGTTAAATTAATACTGTGTGTGGCGGCAGAATTAGCTGCAATTACTGGTAAATACGTCCTCTGGCAATGAAAATTGGTGTAACACCATGTTCATTACGAATTAGAGCATTTTATTACTTTCAGCATCTATACATGGAAATAAAATGGTGGTACAGCTCATAAAAATCGCCCGATCGTATGCCGAGATATTTATATTACCGGGTCATACACCCAGATGCACTTGCTGTAGAAACCTTAGAATGCAAGCATCATAGATACATTTATTTTATCGAGATCTTTTTATTTATACGAGATGAGGAGAAAGCCAATTTCGGTCCTAAGATACGTTCTGGGTGGCTAAGCTATCACCTGTCAAAAACTACTGTCATAAACTCTTGGAAAGGCAGATACTAACACTCAACAAAACTCTATGTCATGAATCTTTGGGTGATTCTCGCGATCAAGTCCGCAGACATACATTGGTATACTACCGATCCGTGCAATCTTATCGTCATAGCTTCCAGATAAAATACCTGATATGTCAATGTCTTCATCGTCGATTTCATCACAAAACAAACCTTTACATGTTGTGAACTCGTTTTTCCAATTTTCTTTGAATTTGTCACTTTGCTTTGCCACTATATTTGCATCAATAGTGTATTTATCGTTATCACTGCCATTCATAAATAAAACATCGTTCTTCCTAATGAACTGTTCAAGGTTTTTCACATCCGATTTGTTAGCGTTCGTTCTTGTGTTTGAAGAATCAGCAAGTTTTTGTCTTGACGTTGATGTATCATCAAGCCATTCCTCAACCTGATCTATAAAGCTGTCGGACTCATCCCCGTAATGGTCTTTGTGTTCCTTATTTGTGCTTGTTTTGCCATTTTCGGTGTTTGAAAGCATGCTTGCATGTTTCGATTTATCTTTATCTGTAGTGTTAGGTATTACATTCTCCTTTGACTGCTGAACTGCTCTTTCCTTTTGCTTTGTGAGGTCTTTTGTCGTAATATCTGCTTCGCCGTGCTTAATTACAACGTATTTTTTTGGTCGGTCGCCATGCACCCAGGCCTCATCCTTGGTCGCCGCGTTGTTCGATGCTGTTTCACCTTCCACGTTATCGGTACTGTCAACAGCTGACGCATCATCTATCTTTTTATTATAGGTGGGTTGTTTTACCACTACTAAACTATTTAACATTTTCTTATCCGCTGGCACTACTTCACTTCTTTGACGGAGATATCGGTCATTTTTAGGTGTATCAATAATGGTTAGTATTTCATCCGGATCTTCTGTGACAGATTTATCCAAGGTAACTTCCGTGCTATCCGGTTCCTCAACAATGGATGAGAAAATATTGCTGGTTTCGTGTAACGATGGTTCATCTATATGGTAACTCTCAACTGCATGATATGGATCTACCGATGTTGTTTCAATTGTCTTCGGTTTCAATTCCACCTCCTCATCATATCCCTCATCGTCCTTATCTGTCTCATCTCCGTCTAATCCTGTTGTTGAGTGCTCGTTATTTTTATCGAGACCTTCATTCTCATCATGACTCCTCGTTTTCTTGTTTGTAGGACCTGTAAGCTCCTCACTCGTCTCCTCGTTCACCGGTGACTCTGCGTATCCGGCTCTCACTGGCTGTATCAGTTCATCCGGATGACGATGCTCTATTCTCGGCATATAAAAGCGGTCGGAATGAACTCTAGCGTCGTTTACACCCACGATATCCCAGTGGTACAAAAAATTATCCAAACACTTTCTTACAACAACATTATAACCACTTCCATCCATTCTAGACATTTTCAGACATCCATAGCCGTTTGTTATGTAATTTTTGTCGTTATAGCTATACGTCTTCCATCCCACCGCGTTCTCATCCGTGCACAGGTAGACATCACCGAACCGACTTTTGATGCACAGGAACTTGTCTCCAACCATGATTTTGAACTTATCGTCTTCTTTTATGAATCTGAACGGCTCAACCTCTTTGGCTTTGATATCCTCAACTTTTATGGTGCCATTTTCCTCCATTAAATGCAGATTGTTATCGTATCGGTGCAGCTTAATCCATCCAAGAGATCCAATTGGCTCTGCATCGATCAAAATCCCAAAAAACGGAACGAGAAGCAACATTTTAAGAGTCACTCACCATGGCTAAAATAAACAACTCTCAAACACAGTGTAAGAAAATGTATCTTGTTTCATAATTATTGATGTTATTAATTAATATACCACAGAAATACCGTGCAATTACTTGCTTGCGCACTAAATTATTATCTATGGTTTACCTTGCTCACAAACGATAACAAGCCTGCCAACTCAACACAGCATATCACATTTATACTCTCTGCTTCCATGGCGCCAAATTTTGTATATCGATTTGCTTGACAAGCCTTTTACCGAACAAGGAGATCTTTATAGTAAATACCGAGATTTATTCACTCCCTATCGTAGAAATTAGCTGTATAACTTATGATCACTCTAGTTTTCCGTAAAAACCGACATATTCTTGTACTACTGCCAAATACTACTTCGTTGCATTTATTCCTCAACTTGATACGCGTCTTTTCGTTATACTAAGGCAAGTAATGTTCAAATTTCGCATTCTTGCTGCTGCACACTAGCACACCTATAGTACGGTATTAAAAACTTTTCTCACGATCAATATTTAGTTTTGCACCATTGCACCAGCTTTTACGCATCATAAAGTGCCAGTGTACTTTATTTTGAGCACTGCCAAGCGTGTTCATTCATTTGATTGATATCTTTCAATGCCGCAGATTGATGACAAAATAGCAAACTGAACAGGATAATTTAGTACTGAGCCTCTACCAATGCTATACGATGTACTAATCATGTTCGATACAGCACGCTAATACTTTGTGTTTAGCCCGTACCAAGCAACCGTTGCTTCAATCATGTTTTAATATTGTTACATCCGAGTTACTGAGTAGATGAAACGATTATTTCCACTTAATACATGATTAATCAAAACTGTGAGTCACATAGAACGACATGTATCACAACAATACAGTTTTACTCATGATAAGACACTGTGGTGTGTTAAAGTAATCATCGTCTTAACCTGTGTGTTAAAATCCGTCATGTATCAAGCAAATAAAATGGTACATTAAAGAACATCTTTAGTGCGGGTTCCGACAAACAAATTAAAGAACGTCTTGTACGGCCCGCACGAGCATCACTGGTCTAATGGTAGAATTGCTGCTTGCCATGCAGTAGGTCCGAGTTCGATTCTCGGGTGATGCATTTCTTTTGTATGCATCTGTGCAGCTCATCACATCATGCACAAACTTGAAATTGACACAGCAAACATGAACCGAACACAGGTAGGAGAATCAATAATTTATTTATATTTCTGCACATCGCTGTAAAACTGCCTCATTTTCTCCTTGGTTTCGCTTCTCTCCTCTCTTTGCAGTTGCACACTTTTTTTCGCTCTTTCCACAGCTTTGCGTTTTATCCTCCTGTCCGTCTTGTCAACTATCCTGTTCTTCTCCACTCTTCTGGTTTTCTTGATCAAGCCTTCATCGTGTGTTTTCATGTGTACGAACCGCTTGACATACTCTTCTAGGAGTGCATTGTCTTTCGTTTGCAGATATTTGTACATTTCTACGGTGAAGACAGGGTGCGCTGATCGTATGTACGCTTTGATAAACCGAATCATGCTGTCCGCTTCTATACCGTCGTATGGACCCTTTGTAAGCCATATGGCTACTTTCTGTGAGCTTTCGCTGGTCATTTTTTGAAGATGAGGCTCAATAGCGAGCAAGTTCTTGTGGCTCAGTTTTTTTGTTCTGATAATTTTGTCCATAGGGTGATAATTTCGTGCAGCGTTACATAAGTCAAATTTTCGAGATTGATATGAACGGTTTGTTGATGTCTACAGCAACGTATATTATCACACAGCATCCTATCAAACGAGCCTGCAATGTTCGGTTCAATAGCTCGGTAATGTTTGTGTGAGAACGTGCAAAAACTGCCTTAACTGCCGGACTTGTTTAGGATCTGTGTGTGGCATGATAACGCTTAAATACAGCATTTTATACGCATTTGCAGATTCGCAGACAGAAATACATCGCGGTTACACCAAAAACAAAGGCTTGTAAAACTGTAACTCGTTTACAGCCGTTTTTTCAAACGTAGAGGGATCGATTTTGGACCAACAACTGCGACTTCGTGTATAATTCTTGATTCTTTCGGTCAAGAGCACATTGCACGGATCAACTGAGCGATTTGCCATGTGAGGCTTGTTAAGAATGGTTTGTGCATCTTCTTCTCGATGTTGCTGCACTGCTGAAATACAACACCTTGCTACTTTCCACCAATAATGGTGATTTGTTCGTGTACTATCTGCTAAAAGCGAACACACATTCCTACACGGCATTGTCACGTTTTATCTACGCTGCTGCACGGCGTATCCATCAGGTATTTCTTTGGTTATCATTTCATAGTACCATGGGTATTCGTACATGAAGTCTCCCCTATAAATGGTGTAGAGGAAGAAAACAACACGTGCTAAGTACCTGTGGAAAGCGCTGTACAGCACAGAGCAACCTATTATAAAAACCAATGGGAAGCAATGGTACTCACCCGTGAGTCCCGCCTTGATAAGAACATTGGCACCGAACATAACGTGGTAAAAACTAACATACGCACATAAATACGATGTCATGTGGAGAACGAACAGCTGTGTGGTGGTTCCATCAATTTTTAGGAATGTTTTTTCGTTTGGGGTGATCACAGTTTTCAGCTGAGCACACGTTAGCGCAAATGATTTCCCTGATATGGCCAAGTAAATTACAAACCAGTCGTATCGGCATCGATTGTGTATGATAAAGGAGTAGCCCGGTATTCCTTGCACGTATACAACATCAGGTCTATCAAGGTCGGACGGTATATTCATAAGCTTTAGAAATACACGCGGGAATTCACTGAGCAAAAGTGAACCAAAGCAATAAAACATGTTTTTGACCGAAATCACGATTTTACCACGAAAGGAAATGTTGTGGTACACGATATGGCAGTACAGCAACGAGCTCATGAATATGCCGATAATGTCATGGCATACTACTAATTTGGTCAGTAAAATCGCCACAGCAAGGATAGGAAATAACTTGCGCAGGACCGAGCTCTTGTCCGACAGAATGAAATAATTCTCAACCGCAAAGAACACGATCAGTTGTGCATAACACAGTAACAGCACAATAATAATAGGCAAATAGAACGTTACAATCATCTTCATGCCTATTCGTGTCAGCAGTCCCACAAAAAGCTTGTCCGAGGTGTTTAAAACGAAATAGAGCGCCACGAACACTGCGATCATGGCGAATAGGTACAACATAAACGGAACAATACCGAGACGAAATATGTATATCATGTTTAAGAAAGGGAGAATGCTCAGAAATAGCAGCACTTTGCCATGTGATACCAAAAGGAGCATCATCAGGTGAATCGTAAAATAAACTATCGGAAATAATAGGCTGTAGATTACAACACTCGTTGGTACATACTCATCCAAACACGTGCAAGGTTCGTGTTTTGCTCTTAAAAGCATCGTCAAATAATAAAACATGACCAGAGCTAAATAGATAAAAATACACCTTTTATCGTTGTACCTCCTTTTGATTGGCCGTAGAAAGCTGTTCATGAGCAGAGAGATGGGGAAACAATATCGTGCTTTTAACATTTGAAAAGAGAAAATTGAAGGGAAAGCCTAAATCGGATGCCTATAGGATCATAACACGCGCCAACATATCTAAAGAGGTTGTTGAATGAGAGATTCAACAAATTAATGAATCAACACGGATAGTAAAAGGATAAACTACAAATTTAATGGCAGCCTGTTAAATAACACCATGAATTATGGTTCGTAGTTTCGTATCGATCAAGTGCCTGCCATGGCACCATCAACTGCGGTGGTGATTACAAATGTTTTGTACTGATGAACGCATGACTAGATCAGGTAAGATGAGAGTATGTCATGAATATTATAAAGGATGAATAGACTGCATCCAGCAGTATACACCATGAACTGGTGTTATAAACGGGATAAGAGCGCATTTAAGTGCTCCATCATAGAATTTTATCCATATCGCTTATTATTACGGTGCAAGCAGCTTCAGTTCACGCAAAGTTGTGCTGAAGGTATGTTCTTCACGGTTGAGGTCATGTATTATCCTAATACCTACCTTTAATCATTTTTTTAGTCTTTTTGCCCAATTTATTCTTTTCCTCTGATATGAAAGTCTTTGGTACCAATGTCATAATTGACATGCAGCAATATGAAAGATGATAGTAGTGACCTACCACAAAGCGGGGAGACCGCTTCCCACATAATATTATAATAGATAAATATACTTTTACATCAATAAGAAACAAGCTATTCGCCAGAGTTAAGCTAAAAGCAGTGATAAGATTGCCATAGCTATTTATCAATAAAGACCAAATTAATAATTAGAAGTTAACAAATTGCGAAACTGTTACGACAGGAGAAGTGTGGTCGAACTGCAGAACACCTAAGCCGCATTTGATGCTTGGCATAATCACAGGCCTTGAACAACACCGAGGAACAATATTGATTTAGGTCTAACAAGCCGGTCACCCAAAATAACTTTAATATAGGTGCATTGTCACATTCCATCACTCAATCAATTTCAGTTCATACTACTTTCAAAGAATTAAAATCACAGGACCATTTCACAATAACATACCTAAAATATTTGCTATCAGGTAATAAAACTGGTAAATATTCGGTTAACAGTCATGGTATTTGTAACATATTATGATGCCGGCAACGATACCAAGAATAAGTTGGAAACCGACACATACACTAATACCTGTCCTATACCAACGATTCAGCATGGAATATTCATAATACTACCGCTCAGGCAATATTTTTGTTGCACGAACAACTCCAGCTTGTGTTGGAGCGTGCTATAGTTTGGCTCTGTTTCTTCGTCTAGGAACAAGTAAAAGGACGAAAGCGTTGTTTCAGCACCAATAAAAGGTATCAATCATCGGATAGCACCGCCATTAATTGCACAAATAGAGCAGTGAACATGAAATGAGGATATCATGGCGATACCGGATTAAAGGAGCTGGGCAGAAAAAGGCATCGGTTCATCAAATATGGAGTTAAACATTGATGCATTACAGTGGCAGGTAGAAGAACGCCAGAGAACCTTTGGCATTGCCCTTGGTATTCCTGAACCGTGAAGACCCTTAATTATTATGTGAACAACACTGCATCGGTGCTGCAAAGAATCGAAGTTGACGGCAACGCTTTCACAGGAACAATCCAAGTTTTCATAAAAAATGTGCACGCCCCTCGAGCATGGAAAAAAAAACAATCGAGCAGCTTTACCAGAAGAAGACACCGATAGAGCACATTCTTTTGCGACCCGAGACGTATATCGGATCGGTTGATCATCACACACAACCGATGTACGTCCTGGAGAACGGCAAGATTGTATCAAAATCGATTACATACGTGCCCGGCCTGTACAAAATTTTTGATGAAATTCTCGTGAATGCTGCCGACAACAAAATAAGGGACCCGTCTATGAGCAAGCTGTGCGTAGATGTGGTGGACGACAGAATTTCTGTGTGGAACAACGGAAAGGGCGTGCCCATACAGATGCATAAGAAAGAGAAGGTGTACGTTCCCGAGCTGATATTCGGCCAGCTGCTCACATCATCGAACTACGATGACAAGGAGAAGAAGGTTACCGGTGGCAGGAACGGATATGGTGCTAAGCTGTGCAACATCTTTTCCTCTGAGTTTATCATCGAAACGGCGGACTCGAAAGAAAATATGACCTACTACCAGCGGTACACGGACAATATGTCTAAGAGGGAGGAGCCTGTAATTACGAAGCAGAGGGTGAGAGAGTCGTTCACCAAGATTACGTTTGTGCCTGATTTGAAGCGATTCAAGATGGAACATCTGGACGAGGACATCGTGTCGCTGCTGAAGAAGCGTGTATATGACATGTGTGCTACGATTAAGAAGGTAAAAGTGTTTCTCAACGGCGAGCAAATACCGATCGTGTCATTTAAGCAGTACGTGTCTTTGTACCTGGCCGATGATGTGAAGGTCGTGCATGAAGTCGTAAATGAGCGCTGGGAGGTAGCCGTTGTTCTGAGTGACGAGCAGTTTCAGCAGGTGTCGTTCGTGAACTCGATTTGCACGATCAAGGGAGGTACGCACGTCAACCATGTGCTTGATCAGCTCGTTGATCCAGTGATCGAGAGGGTGCAGAAAAAGGATAAGAGCTTGGTGATTAAGCCGTTTTTCGTGAGAAACAGCGTTTTTGTTTTCGTGAACGCCTTGATAGAAAACGCTGCCTTTGACTCGCAGACGAAGGAGACACTTACGCTGCGTGTAAGCAGTTTTGGCAGCCGATGCACCTTGAGCGATGATTTTGTGAAGCAAACGGTCGCAATCCTCTCGGATAGAGTGCTTTCGCAAGCACTTGCCAAGATGAGCAAGCAACTCAAGAAAACAGACGGGTCTAAGAGTAGCAAAATAACTGGCGTGGAAAAGCTGAGCGATGCCAATCTTGCTGGCACCAAAAACTCGCACAAGTGCTCGCTTATTCTCACAGAGGGGGACTCTGCCAAAACGCTTGCCATAAGTGGCCTGTCGGTGGTGGGAAGGGACCACTACGGCGTGTTTCCTCTGCGTGGTAAGTTGTTGAACGTGCGCGAGGCCAATCACAAACAGATCATGGAGAACGAAGAGCTGAACAATCTGAAAAAAATACTGGCGCTGCAGCATCACAAGGAGTACACGTCGACGGAGAGTCTGAGGTACGGCCACGTCATAATAATGACCGATCAGGATCATGACGGCTCGCATATCAAGGGCCTGATAATCAACTTTTTCGATCATTTCTTTCCGTCTCTCCTCAGGATCGAAGGTTTTCTCAAGGAGTTTATCACACCTATTGTGAGGGTGACAAAGAAAAAGCGATCGCGCACACAGAACGACAATCCGGAGGACGATTCGGATGTGCAAGAAGTGCCAAGGAACAGCACCAGGACAGATCACTCTGTGGGAACGGTTATTGATTTCTTCACCATTCCAGAATATGAGGACTGGAAAAACAGCACTCCAGACGTAAAAAATTGGTCGGTCAAGTACTACAAGGGATTGGGTACGAGCACTTCAAAGGATGCAAAGCAATACTTCAGCAATCTGGACAAGCATATAAAGTCGTTTACCCTGCTCACGACAGAGGACAAATCGCTGATAGACCTGGCATTTAACAAGAAGAAGGCTGATGATAGAAAGTTATGGCTCAAAAACTGCGTGCCAGGCACTTTTCTTGATCACAGCGTGCATAAAATACCAATCAAGGACTTCATTAACAAAGAGCTCATTTTGTTCTCTATGGCAGATAATGTGCGTAGCATACCTTCCATGGTGGATGGTTTTAAGCCTGGACAGCGAAAAGTGATGTACTGTTGCTTTAAGAGGAATCTTAAATCCGAGATTAAGGTTGCCCAGCTCGTGGGTTATGTTGCCGAGCACTCGGCATATCACCACGGCGAGATGAGTTTGCAGCAGACGATTATCAAGCTTGCACATGATTTTGTTGGGAGCAACAATGTCAACCTGCTTGAACCAGCCGGTCAATTCGGCACGCGCCTGCAAGGTGGCAAAGATGCGGCTTCCGCACGTTACATTTTTACAAATCTGGCGAATATTACCCGAAAGATATTCGTAGAGAGCGATGATGCTCTTCTGAATTATATCATAGAGGATAACCTGAAAATAGAACCTGCATTTTACGTTCCTATCGTGCCAATGGTGCTTGTGAACGGTGCTGATGGTATTGGTACGGGGTGGTTGACCAAGATACCGAACTATGACCTGCTTGAACTCATCGATAACATAAAGTTGTTGCTCGATGGACAGGAAATGAGAACGATGGTACCATTTTACAGAGGCTTTAAGGGCGAAATAGAGGATTTGGGCGGCAAGAAATACCGGATAAGCGGTATTTACGGCGTTGAGGAAGAAAGTCTAACGATCACCGAGCTGCCAGTGAAGATATGGACACAGACGTACAAAGAGTTTCTGGAGAAAAAGATTGAAAAAGGTGAGGTCAAGGAGTTCAGGGAATACCACACTGAGAGGAACGTACACTTTGAGGTATCAGTGACAGTTAGTGGCGAGTTGGAGAAGAAATTCGGTCTGAGCACGATAAGCATCTTCAACAATTTCGTGTGTTTTGATCGGCACGGCAAGATAAAGAAGTATGACAGTGCTGAAGAAATTTTGAAAGAGTTTTACAGCATACGGTTGGAGTTCTACAATCTACGAAAAGAGTACCTGCTCAAAACACTTGAAGAAGAGCTCAGAAAATTGGAGAATAAGGTACGGTTTATTAGAGAAGTTGTGAATGGCACACTGGTGGTGTCCAAGCGGAAGAAGGCAGATATAATTGCAGAACTGGAACAGAAAGAGTACCACAAGATTGACGATACGTATGATTACCTGCTTAACATGTCCATACTTTCTCTTACACTGGAGAAGATTGATAGATTGAACGAGGACTGGCAAAGTACACAGAGGGAGTATGACGAGCTGTTGGGCAAGAGCGTGAAGCAGTTATGGATCTATGACTTGGAGGCTTTACGAACAGAGTATTTGAAGTTGTTGGAGGATGACGAACGGGCCCAGGCGGAGCATACGGTTAGAACAGGAGATGGTGGGCCGAGTAGAAGAAGGGTTAGGAGAGCGAGAAATGCGCCCAAGGACACTGATGGCACCAAGAAAATGAGGAGAACCCTCAAAGATACAGGTGCCGTGAAGACAACCAAAAGGACAGCCAAAGAACAGAAAACGAAAAAAATATCGGCAGCTAAGAACGCTTCGGACACGGGTAACGTTAAAAAGCGGAAAACATCTGTGAAGAAGAAGGTTAATGTGATAAACACATCCACAGAATCATCTGGTGCAGATGAACTGTGGAAAAAATACGAGAACAGTGGTGAATAAATTTATATTTTTATTTATTGGAAATGGCGGTGCTGTTTAGTCTTTCACACCAGGATTATCGAAACGATTGATTAAAGTCTTTGACCATGGCGTGCATTAGTAATGCGGAGTTTTTACAATTTTGAGCGTTCTAAAATTGTTATAAGGCGCAATCCACGATTTCTTACGAACAAATTAGCATCACAGTGCGTAGCCAAGCAGTGTAATTAGATATTCACTGATATCAAAGTGTTAATTGGTGTGAAAGGAATGATCATATCGTAAAAATTTTAACTGTGTGTAATTGAGTGAGTTCGGCATTTATTTACCGCTTTTATGATTGCATGGAACGCTAAATATTTATTTCTATGTTGAGCGCACTTTGCTGGTAACGTGGCATTTCAGCTGTAAATAACAGCAATACTATTAAATATGAATGATCACCCAGATGACCAACATGTTCTACTTATGGGTAGGTATATTTTAATATTCCACAATGTCCAGCCAATTCCATTTCAGGTATCTCCTCCAGCACAAAATTATTTGTTTACGAATGACATGAGCAGCACTATTGCCACAAGAAAAAAGGAACCGAAAAAATCTGCCGTGCTCGTAATCAGCGGCAGGGCAACAACACCTGCCATTTCTACGCTTCGTTGAAATCGGCTCAGGATGCAATCTACCAGCTCGATAAGCAAAAGAACATCAACAAGAAAACAGATAATGAACAGGAACGAAAACATGTTGGGTAGCTTTTCAAACAGCGTGTTCGATATGATTATGTAGGTGAGAGACATTGCCAACGAAATGATCAGGAGGGAAAACAGCGATGCCTTTTTGTTGTGCGGTTGCTTTGTGTACAGCGATGTAAGCTTTCTATTCAGATAAATAAATGAGGTTGAGCCTGTCAGACCGCAGAACACGGGTGCAGAGGAGGCTAGGAACGGGTACATTATCGAGAAGTACTCTATCAACATGCCGCTGATGCTCGATAGAACGAACGTAATTATGAGGAGAGTGAGTGATTGTATGGGCAGGATGGCTGGTGATCTCCGTGATACCTGTATTATGAAGGGCACCACAAACAGGATTAGAAATATGGTCGTGGCGCATATCGTGACCGACTGCATTTGGTGAAACAGTTTGAAAAAGAATATGAGTGATAGAACCGTGAAGTAGTCGGAAAATGCTGCTATCGATGGCAGAACAACATTGTCGGGGTTGATCTGAAGATTCTGGAACAGCAACACGGCAGCAAGCAGAATGAGCAGCACGACCAACGTGCTAACAAGACAGCTTACCAGGCAGGAGCACAGCGTTATTACAGCGTAGCGAAAGGCGTTTTCAAATCTGATTATGACCACGGACATGCCCACCAGACCAACGCTCAGTCCAATGATTATCGACTGGACAACTACCATGCACGCGTTATCGATCGCAAACCTTGCGTATTCTATGACCGGGCTGTAAACATTGCTGATAGAAGATAGGTGCATGGCAAAAATGAGCTCAATGTTTCCCTTGAAGCTTAGGATGCACGTGGCAACTAAAAGCAGCGGGTACACAAGGAACAGCTTCGTTCCGTTGGCCTCCTCCAGGTATATCCCAGCAATCGTGAATCCTATCAAAGAAATGAGCAATGACGGTATGGACTGAGATAGGATAGACTTTGAGTACATCGGGCGGTCGTGCTCATCGTGCACGAGTATTTCGTTGTAGTTGATCTGTTCCGTCATATATTGTACGTGTCAAGTGCATTTTTTTGGTTTTGTTTTTGTTTCTAAACGTGTAACAAGTGTATGTGATATTTGCAATTATGATAGATTTCAACATCTTAGCAATCACGGACCTTTCGCTTGGTGCGTAGTTTCTGAGATAAATGTGGCACGTTGCGCCGATATTGCCGTCTATCCAGGCAGTTGTTCGTGTTACCGGCCTTGATTAGTGGTGGTTTTTTCAAATGATGTTCAGCTCAGTGTTCGGGATGCCAGGCCCGATCTTCTTGTATTACGTCAACAAAAGCCTTCTCACTGAGTGTACACGGGTTTAAATGACCAAACCGAGTACTACATCGTTTATAAATCAGAACGCCTGTAATCAGACATAGAATCGAACATTTTTATTTGTTTTCATTAAAATGAAACATTCTTGATGAGATGATGCTTTGCTGCTATGAATGCTTTTGCTCATCACGTATACGTAGCCAAAACAAAGCGATAGCAAAAAATTGGAGGGTACAAGCAGCTGCTCACCGCAAGAGCGATGTGAGTTCTGTTCTATTTTAGCGGAGAAGGCCTTTTCTCTCCATATGAAGCGTAAAGCGCGTATTATCACGGGCTGGGCACTGCTGGAAAGCACTCCATTCAGTGCTGACATGATAAGATGGCAATTATAACAAAGCATACGTTTAGATTGTCCATAGCCACCAGCTAGTTGTGTAAATAGGGTGATCATGATCTAGGAGAAGTAGTGTATGCTATCGCTTTCTTACAGCCTGCCATGATGCTCTGAAAGGTACAAATAAATCGTAAAATAAAATTGAATGTAATAAACTACAAAATATTAAATTCATACGTACGGAGAACGAAAAGTAAATGGTAAGCGTATTTAACTAACTCATACCAATTAATGATGGTGATGTTTGCTTGCAGACAACCGCTTAACAGCAATTAAAGAATGTTTGGGTGGTATTTCAAAATTACCACCAAAAAATGACCGTAAGGAACCGTGCGGTTGTCTTTTGAGAGTCTCCTTGTTTACCGCCCTACATCTCACAACAACAAGCTCTCCTGATGGCCAAGCGCTCTGAATAGCCTTAATGGTCTTCATTCAAGAAAGAACCGTAATTACCGTCTAAACCGCCGCTATCAAATAAAATGCTCTCTTCGTGCAACATGTGCCAACACAAACGATTGGTCTAAACGCGTGAGCACCGTATGTGGTGAATCAGCATTTTTTATTCTCACCAAATGCACGTTTATCATTTCACACGGCAGCACCACAGCATTTTTTGGTGTGGCCGTACCTTTCAGGCTAAATTAATTTTTCATTACGAACACGCAACAGCGAAAAGAACAAAAAAATGAAGCAAAGCTAAATTTGTGGCACTCACACCAAAATTAACGAACAAAGAGTGCAGTAAATGCAAATTTGGTGCTAAACGTTAATTAAGCGTGTTCCTCGTAAGAAATGAGTGCCACAGAATTAAACAGGAACAATGGCACGTCTACTTCCTACTATACGATTTATTTATTCTATTTCTGCCGTTACTTTTCATCATTTGCTATCAAAGCCTTCTCCAGCAATACGTTGGTGTACGTCGTGTAACCGGCTATGAACAGTGCGTGGGACAGTGTGGTGAACAGGATGCAGTACATCATTGGCTGGATGAACTGCTTGAATGATTCGAATGAGGCGTAGAAGAGCACGGTGTAGAGCACGGTCAGCGCAAGGTACAGTACAAGCACGATGAGTGCAATTATGAAATTCGTGGATATGTATGAGCTGTCGAGGACAAGCGCGCTGAAGCTGTTTATCTTGTTGATACGTCTCATTTCCATGCTCTCCACGATGTATGTACTCATGATGTACAGCGCAGCATTGAGGAACACCGTGATTATGAAGAGAACGTTGATGTGGAACACCGTGTCCTGCACCGTTGTGCTCTTCTTTGTCATGAAGAACAACACGTTTCCCGGGTTCTTGGAAAAGGTGATTATCGTGTACATGAGGAAGGAGAAGAGCAGAAGGCTCGTGCAGATGGAGAACAGATAGAAAAACGAAGACACAAAATGCGTTTTCCTCAGAGAGCGTCTCGATTCGTGGATGTACCTGCAGAATGTTCGTATGATAAGCGCAGATATGAAGATAGGCGTGATGAGGACCACAAACGCAAGAATGAGCGGGAAAAACTCGGCCGATATCTTGTACTGCAGCAGCTGATACAGGTTATTCGTTAAGTTGGGGAGCGTTGGCGTGATGTACTGTAATCCTACCGCGATGAGCGTTATGAGCGTTAAAACTAGAGACGGCCACAGTAAGCTTTGCATAATTAAACAAAAATGCGCTTTTTTATTTGTTTTCTTTAAATTAAAAGGCTGATTAATTTATCTTTTTAGGCGATCTCTATTTGGAGGCATTTGTTCAAATGAATTATTATCGGGAAGTATTGCTCCGATATAAATGAACCAATAATTTTGCATTAGGCCTTTATTGTAAGATAAATTTGCGTGCACCGGTTTTACGTGTAATAGATTTGATCGAATACGTGATCGAACAAAACAGATCGTTAATGATACGAGCATGTTTATTACCATAAAGGAACATCTTTTGGCCGTGATATGGTCGTTTAAAAGTGCATCCGTGGTATCATAGCACAACATGCCGTGATATCAGCTCTTGTACGTGCTGATTTGCAAAACATCATTTCTTGCTGTTCTTGTGCGCAGCAAGGAACTGAAGTAATAGCTACAATTAATTTTACAAAATTTAGTTTTACGTGCTTGGTGTTGCCGGTGATAATGTACAGTGCATGTTTTACTTTCCATTTTTAAATTCGTGAGCCTCTTCACATTGCTCCGCTTTCGTGGTGTTTACGTCACGATCACTCGTTCTTAAACTGGTGAGAGCCACTTCTTTTGAATCATCCCATATCATTGATGTAAATGTACGTAAATTACATTATCAAGGCTTATAAGGATATACCAACAAATAAAGAAATAAAATGATGTAATAAACATGTAACCAGGTTTATGTACGTTATGAGTAGCTTTTGGTCATAGCTGTAATATTTTGATTTTCGTGTCCGTTAAATTTAACTTTAGTTACCTGTAATCCGTGTAAGCACTGCCAAGTCTTACTTCTCGTTTAGTAGGGAATACGCGGCATCGATGTTAAAAACTTTTTTGTTTGGTGCTGTGGTATATGGCACGGTGATTTGTTTCAAGGCTTAGATCGTATGGAGCACGCAAGGTTACCATTTCGAAGCCTAGATCGTATGGAGCACGCAAGGTTACCATTTCAAAGCCTAGATCGTATGAAGCACGTAAAGTTACCATTTCAAAGCCTAGATTATGACAAATCGCAAAACAGTAATAAATACATGGCTCAACGAAAACAATGCGAATAATTGCCATAAAGACTCTGTCATGGTATTAAATTGAGCATTATATTTTAAAATGGTTACGCTCACGTAGCAATATTAGTTAATGTTACAGCATTCTACGATTCATTAGGTTCATTCTCATCGGCAGCACTTCTCATTCGGTACTATACCACTGATTATTTATTTTGGTACCGGATAAAGGTTTATTACAAGAGTAGTTGGACTTAAAGAATGAATTGCGTTTCCTAGTCCAACTGGTATTACCAGTAACAGATTTGTATTTGTTTGAATACGGATTTTTGACTGGCTTTAAACGATCATATGAGTTAGCAGCTTAGTTAAAGTACTGTCGTAAATTTGTATTTTAATGGTAATAAAGCATTTCTTCCTGTGGTGATGGTCAGCTTGTGCGATGAGATAATTAAATAAAGTCTATTTGAAATCTTTTTAACGGTAGTTATGGAAATATCCATAAAAGAAAGATGATTCATTCCTATTTATATTATGTTTCGTATTGTTCATTCAACCTATAGCAGCAATTCTAACAGTAACCAAATGAGAAATGTTTTCAACAAAATATTATTTACTCGACCAGCTTGATTGGATCAATGAAGAATACGGATTTAGAGTACCTATCAACATATTTTGTAACAGATATTACCGGTACTGCGCATGTTCATACGTCAAACTGGTTTCATAGTTCAAAGTCGCATGTTTTAATTATTGGCGCTAACCCTGGTCAACCAACTCTACTCACACCAATGACAGATGGAAATGAGCCCGATCACAGGACAATTTATGACCTAATACTAAAAGAATACGCTTTTGATAAAGCATTTAGGAAGTTATACGAATCTAACCACCTGTGCTGTGGCTATAAACACAAAGAATTTGCGGGAAATATCGTGTCCAATATCAAATGCTTCAAGTGCGGGAAATATGCACCTTCAAAGCGGTTTACGTCACACATGGATAGATGTATGAAAAAGTAAGTTGTGATGTGCGGGCTCTTACTTTCCTGGTTGCGGACTAATTTTGTGGTTTTTACTTTTGCCTTCTCCTTTTACAGAAACTATAATGGATTGTAAATAAAGAAAAGCCTTGATTGATGAGTACTTTTTGCTGAAGGTTCCTTGTTTATTACCCCGCATAGCCAGCAGCTTGGATCGGTGAGGCGTTCTGGTACGTATTATAGCAAATAATTGCCTTTTAAACACCAGCACTTTTCAGAATATTACATCCTGGTTGTTTCAATAAATTTGAACACAACAATACCGCAACCATCATCTGCCAAGCATAACCATGGACAGTACACCATTTTTTGGTCCTGTAGCACAAGCGTAGTTATACGATCACTTTGCAGTCGCATTTTACTGAAAAGTGCGTGAGTATAACTGTGAAATGAGGTGAATGCCGGGTTGGTAGACGAGCAAAACTTAGTTAACCATTTTAAAAATAATTTATTTACCATCTCAGACTCACCATCAACTAAACGAACACAGCTTTTGGTTTGTTAGGACAAATCACGGTCACTAATCCTTTGGTTCATGATGTGCCGGTCAAATATTTCCAAAAAGTACGTAAAATTGTTATTTGTTAGGCGATGTGTATGACCGCAGTACAATGGCAAACCGAAAAGTGATGCAAATGCGGTATTGTTGCTCAAGAAGAATATTTTATCAATGTTGGTACGAGAGGTAAACTAACAATAGCACTTTGTTATCGTTCGTGTGTACCTTCTTAAACACTCTCATGGTTGTTAAGTTGAACATACCTCATTACTAGGTATTTACGTCCTCAGGATTGGTTCTATCATGCTGTTTTTACACTGTTCTATTCAACCTGCCGAGCGATCCGCTTGGAACACTTCTAATACATCAGAATAAGGCACTTAAATCTGCACTGTACTACGCTCGTAATAAACCTCTACATTCGTTGCTGAGCTTGAATGTGATCTAAACCATATCATCAACCAAACAGTTTTATTAAATAGCACCGTATAAACACAAAAATTGGCAGCTCGCTTCTGAAAGACGTATTATACGTGCTAAGCACACGACTTTTCTCAAAGCTTTGTTCCAACCTAAAGTCTCATATTCGTGTTTAACAGCAATTGGATACGAAGAACGAGAGAAGGCTGTCTTGTAGGGGTGGTAGGAGAGATAAGAACGCGTATCATTTTACACCGGTGGTTTGTACGAAGAATAGTGTTGGTAGGGATGTTGGGATTACCAGCACTACTTCTCTGATCCGCAAGCTGTAATTGTACAAATTGAGAATGTCTTTGTTGAAACATCATGTGACATTTTTTGAAACGTATTTCCGTTTTATGAGCCGTACCAGGACCGCAAAGCAGATAATACAAAAATTTAGAGGGTGGGGTGAATGACAGAAAAGGGCAAGAAAGACGAATTAGCTGCGCTTACGCAAGAAATGATCAAAAATGCAGAGGGCAGGAGCAAAGCCGATCTGAACACACATAAAGCAACTATAAGTAATGATAAGGTCTCTGAGTACACAGGAAAACCAAAATATTTTGATATATTTGGTCGTCTTCTTCATTACTTGGCAGAGGAAAACTACGATGCCATCATAACCGAACTTACAAACCTTTATTTTGATGATTTGTTGCCGATGACAGATTATGATATGTATTGCACCACGCCATACTCCGATGAGGTATCGCGGACCTATGGTTTGCCATACAGAATAAATGCCTCATTTATCAGAACAAAGTTTCTTACGTACATAGCGTGCCAGAAACCGAAGGAAAAGTATTGCCAGCATTTTATTAGGTTTGCCAATGATGCGAGTGATATTATCGTGTGTTTGTGCAATCGCCAAGATGACTATTTTACGAGTAGTGCTTCGTCGAGCACAACAGCAGATATTTTGAGGAATAATCCGGGCTTAGCAACCAAGGATGGCCACCAAGATGCAGACAAAGATGGAAGTGTGTACGTAATAGAAGATATGAACAACACGAGAAGAATAAAGTTTCTTAAATGGGAGGACTTTGATGTACCGCACAGAAAAGATTTCACTCGTTTCTATGACGCGTATCTATCGATGAATAAGTCCGACAAACCGGTGATTGTGCATTGTAAAGCGGGAGTGGGACGTACGGGTACATTCATTCTTTATGATACGCTAGCGCGGATGGAAAATGTGACGAATGAGATTTTTATCGATGAGCTTTGCAAAATGAGGGAGCAGAGGAACTTCATGGTGTTTAATGGAAAACAGTTGAAATGGTTAGCAGATATTTTCTTGGAGAAAACCGATAAGTAAAGGTGTAGTAGGTCTATATTATATTGTAGTGTACCGTTTTCTGTGTGAAATATCGTATCTTTCGCTTTAATACGTTTTCTTTGGTATTATTGCAAAAAAAAAGATTATTAAACACTCTGATCATTTGCAACAAGCTATCACACTGCAAACGGCAATATCATCAGTCGTTGTATTCTTTATGTGTAGTATTGAGTTTTTTGGCATTCTCGTAACGTTTTAGCGCGATTCATGATAAAGGAGGTACCACTGCCGTGAACCAAGCCAAATGCTATCGGACAGGGCAGGCTCGTATTTTTTGCCAATAAATGAGATAAACGAACCGCTCCCCTTGTTACGGATGAGCACAGGGAACAAACAAAGAATTTCGCTAACAAGTGCGCAATTGGAGGAAGACATAGAAACGTACCTCAAAAATTATAAGTTTGAAGAAATACATGAAATTGAGCAGTTTATTGAACAGGTGGAAAAGAACAAACTGAGTAAATCCTAGCGATTTGTATACAAGTCTTCTTTTTTGTCCCGTTTTTTCATGTTATAAACATTTCGTCATGATAACCCTTTAAAGCCTCCTTTTCTTCAGTAGCGATGCAATCTTTGCCACTAGAGCCAAAAATAGAAACGCCTTCAAAATTTATCGTACGTCTATACGCTGCCATAGATGATCCCAACGTAAAAAGTATAATATGGAGCCGCCATGAAGCATCGTTCCTTATCCTCGACAAGGAAGATTTTCAACAAAATGTTCTTCCCATGATTTCAAAAACGAGCGAGTTCAGCGGTTTTATCAGGCAGCTGAACGCATACGGCTTTAAGAAAAGGAACAACATCGATGTGAATGTCAGGGAATATGCACATCCGAATTTTATAAGGAACCGTTTCGATCTGCTCACGAAGCTGTCGCGCAGGAGCACAGGGATAATAAAATCTGAGAGTGCAAGTTTGCAGAATAACATAAAATTCCTCAACGAGAGCAATTTCCGACTGACATCAGAAGTGCTAACACTGAAGAACAAGGTAGAGGAGCAGGACAAGAAGATTAAAACGCTAATGGAGATGTTCCAGCAGATGTTCAACATGCAGGCTGATAAGGGCGACGGGTTGGGCACCGGAAAGTTTTCGGAGAGACAACTCGATTACAAAGAGAAGAAGAGGAAGAGTCCGAAGTACCTGAGAGACGGCGGGGCAAACCAGCACGATGACTACAACGATTTTTTTTGAAGGCTGGCTGTAAAAAACACAACTCATTAAATTACTTATTTTACACGCTAAGCATGCTGATTGTATTTTTAATGGACAAATTACGAATGTTTATGGTAAATTTGATATTTGGAGACGTATACTATGCGTGTTTTACGCATACCACGTGCTTAGTATGCGTGGTCAGCCCATATCTGCACGGGCCATCATTTATTGCACTTTGCGGATGATCGACAGCAATCTTTCAGTACAAATGTATGGACCAACATTTTTTAGTGCAAATCGTTCATCTGTCTCCTCAAATAGCAGCAACACTTAGACAAGTGCATGGTACCAAAAATGCCAAAATATTTTCCAAAAATGTCAATAACTCCGCACGTTACCCTCAAATCATGAAAAATGGTTTAAAACACAACCATGCCACTGCCAAGCACACAATTTAAACCAAAAAAATTAAGGCTGCCCGCTTCTCTTTAGCCCGATATGTACACATTTGATCGCTGTGAAAAGCAACATCTCGTTCAACAGGGGAACGCTCATTTGTTTATCATGGCTGCGCGAACACATATCTTATGATTTGTCAGTCACGGCAATTCTCGGTTTCAATTGATTTTTTTGTTTAAGCCCCCGTTGAAAATGGCTAATAACACGTGCATTCTGATCACGCTTATGGTTCTACTGTTCTCAGCACCTGTGATAATGATGAGCATACTCACTAAGCTCTTCCCTGAGCACGAAAGCATAATGGGTGCACTTTCTGTGGTACTGTTGTTTGTTATTTTGGGATTGATATGCCTTTTTGTGCACCGTATTGAGACCGAAGAAGACGAAAAGAAGGTGAAGGAGGATTGATTAAAGATCTGTAACTCAATTGTGTGTGTAAATCTAGCTTAATTAAAATTTTGATGTTTTTAATTCCAGCAAAAATTTTAAATTGCAATTCCGCAAATTCGTGCATTATACCGCCTGTAAACTGCAACAAATATTTTATGATGATACCCGATACAGCCAAAATATCAGAAAAAATAAACAGCACTCAGTAACGTTCAACCAATGGTAAAACCTTTGCAAACATGATACCGAGGCGCCTCCTTGATGAAACTGTTTCTGATCAAATGTTGCACAAAAACCTCTAAATGATTAATGCCACCCCCTACTGGGAAATGTCACACTCAACAACCAAAATTCTCATCGCTAATAATTCGTTGGCGGCAATGAAATTCATAATATCGCTTAGCTCGCGCGATGTTACGTTCCTGGGCATGGTGACCAGCCATGATCTGCGCTCCAATCAGCTGTACGTTAATTACCTAAATCGTTATTTAGTCGTTGAAAATTACGGTGTTGACGAAATTCTGAGGGCTGCCACATATTTCAAACCTGATCTTGTGTGGCCGGGATGGGGACATTCATCAGAGAATTACCTGCTGCCGAAAGCATTGAAGGAAAGCGGTTATCGATTTATGGGACCGGACGAAAATGCTATGAGAATGCTGGGCGATAAAATCATGAGCAACAGGTTTGCAGAGAGGAACGGCATACCATGCATTCCATACACCACGGATATCGGTGCTTTTATGGCGTTCTTTCAGTCCTATGGAACTGCTATGATCAAAAGCAGTGATTCGGGTGGCGGGAAAGGCATTGAAATCGTTGAAACTCAGGAACAGCTGTCAAATTTCCTAGAGCAGTATGCGAAGCGTGTCGGCACATCCCAACAGTCCGAAATAGTGGTATCCAATGATACGGAGTGCGAACACAACCAGGAATTGAACGGCATATCGCCAGAACAGCTATGCATAGCGGATGGAGATGAGCTGGCATATTCTCTGGCAACAACTCCGCTGGGCATTTCCTCGGAGACAACGGGGCAGAGGAGTGCAGGACAAGGAGAGCAGAACGTTTTTATGACCAAGATAATAAAAAATGCACGACATGTCGAGCTGCAGGTGGTAAGAGACAACTTTGGCAACGCTGTGCTCCTTGGCACCCGAGATTGCACCATACAACGCAGGCATCAGAAGATAATTGAGGAAGGCCCAGCCATACTGACGGAACAGTTTTATGAGCACATGAAAAGATGTGCCAAGACACTTCTGATAGCTTCCAACTACGTAGGTGTTGCAACCGTTGAGTTCCTCGTGACAGAACAGCATTTCTACTTCCTGGAGGTCAACACGCGTATCCAGGTCGAACATCCTGTCACAGAGCTAAATGCGCAGGTTAACATTCCCGAGCTGCAGCTGGACGTGGCAATGAACAGGAATTTGTGCTTCATGGACGATAAGCAAAGTACGAACCATGTGGTTGCTGCAAGAATCACAGCGGAGGACAACAATTTCAATCCGCAGACGGGACATGTGAGCGTTTCCTTTCTGCCGTCCAAAAACACGCTGCTGTATTTTTCGGTGCTGAACGGCCAAATCACCGAGCAGAACGACAGCCAATTCGGACATGTGTTCGCGTATGGACGGAACAGAAGAGAGGCAACCACAAATTTGATAACGGCACTGATGAATGTCAAAATTACCGGCATAGACTCGCCTATACCGCGTGTGCTCGGCATCCTCAAGAGCCGTTTCTTTGCAGAAAACGATTTTTACACGGATACGTTGGAAAGGTTCAGATTTGAAAAGATGAGTGAGGAGGACATCGCATTCTTTAGCGCGGCGTATTTCCTGATGAGCTCAAACTCGCACGTAAGCTTTGCATACAACGATGATTGCTTCTTTACACGGTGCCATGTCGTGAGCAGCCATGAAATGCTTGTGGAGCTGAATGGCACGTTCTACAAGATTCGGAGCGTGGAGAGTTGCACATCACGCGTGGACAACAAACAGCCTCGTGAACAGAGGACCTTTTTCAGCACCTTCACCTTCAATGACAGCCTGGTAACGTTCTCAACCGTATCGCAAAATACCTACAGGATGCTCAATCAAGGATCTAACACGTTTACTCTGCTCACACAGAACATAACAGCACCGTTCAACGGTCGAATTGTGGAAATTAACGATGGATACGTTGAGAGAGATGGCGTGCTGTTTGTGATAGAAGCGATGAAGACGCGCACACACATCCGGTCCAAAGACAATTTGCTGTACACCAAGCTTAAGACCGAGGGATCGATCGTTAGCGTAGGAGATAACATCCTCAAAATAGAAAGCAACAAAATTACGTGCAATACGGCTGCTCGGTTTACCAGGAATTACGATGAGAACGATCTTATGAGATGGACAAGACATTTGCATGCATTACCGTCCGTTCTGTACACTTTTCCTGCGGATGAGCGGATATTTGATCTTGTACGGGTGCACTGCATACATGCTATGGGAGTGATTGAGCACTTGGAGATTGATGAGGAGCAGTGCGTGAGGATTAGAGGCGAATTAGAAAGTGTTTTGGTGAAGAGTGCGGTTGATAAAGACGTGTTGAGGTTTTATTACAGGGTTGTGAGGATGTGCACTGCTATGGGCATGCACAGAAGCGCTAGTGGCACGTTGGGAGCAGATACAGACATGGAGCAGCAACGAATGGGCATGAATGCCGTGGATGGTCACGTTGATCACACGGAAAGTGCACCGTTGGACGATGCCAAGTACATGCTGAGCGAGAAAAGTGCACCATTGGACGATGTTGAGTACATGCTGAGCGAGAAAAGTGCACCATTGGACGATGCCAAGTACACGCGGAGCGAGAAAAGCGCGATATTGCGAAAAAATGAGAGAAAACCGTGTTCAATGAAACTGAGCGCCTTTCAATCGGTAGATGACCCTGTTGTTGAGCATTTTACCGCACATTCATTCACACACGAGCAGTTCAACAGCAAATTCTGTGCATGTCCACGAATAGAGTGCCGCTGCACCGGCCAATACGGCAAATCAATCATAATACGTGCACGAGATGTGACAAACGAACTTATCGTGTTTGTTAAGGTGTTTACCGGCTGGTCATACGCTCTTTACACGGAGAATAGCACAAACGTTGAAAAGATCAGGCACATGTTCACGAAGATCGTGTGTAACGGGACGGTGTACCTCAGTACGCGCGGATATGCTGAAATATTCGTGTATGAAAAGAAAAGAGTACGCGAGTACTACCTTGATGGCTTGAAAGTGAACATTCCTGATGGTATAGACCTTAAGGTACGGTATGAAGGCTTCTTGTACTTGATGTACATTTATTTGTGCACGATAAATGCTCCGATGTGCTACAAGGAGCTGTTCCTGACCGTTTTTGATGATTGCAGTAAAACGGTGCCGAGGCGGGTGAATGACCCGGTCAATTCGTGCAAAACCTCGAATTCGGGTGCAAAGCACGGCAACGATCTGGCCGGACAATCGCACTGCACAACGAGTACAAACACCAAACACAGCATGCACGGCAACCAAGCATTTCCTAGCGAAGCGGACCTAAACCGGTGCAACGACCGGAAGTACGCACTGTCATACGATCGTAAGATCAAAATTGGTGTGTTAGCGTACGTGTTCCACATAAATGGTGAAAACACCGTGTTCGTGATCAACGATTGGAAATTTAAATGCGGTTCGTTTTCGTATAAGGAGCTGATTTTCTTTCATTTCGTGAATTTGTTGTGCACAACGAGGGAAATGGCACGCATTCATTTCAGCAACAATTCTGGTGCACGGATCGGTATCGACGAGGAAGTGATGAGTAAGCTGATTGTGAAGGAGCAACGGGGTGGGTTGGAGCTGTATATGAGGCAGGAAGATCGAGACGGGCTCAGTGGCAGTTGCACAGGCGGGAAGAGGAGCGGTTCAAGCACAGAAAGAATGGAACACATGCACATGTCCATAAATAGCGAAACTACGGAGGGGAACCGTTCAAACGGTGCACGGGATTAAAACACCTAAAATACATCACAACAAACGATGACAGCGGCCCAGAGAACCTGTCATACTCATCACAATCATCTATAAGCACCATCGAAGCATACAACCGTACCTTCACCCTATCATTCGTAACAAACCACTCGGTAGGCATAGGTGCTTATCTCGCAGTGCTGGGCAAGCGCGTCATAATGAAGAGAAGCAGCGTTATGCTGCTTACAGGGTACAAGGCGCTGAACAAGCTCAATCAAACGGAGATATACAGCAGTAATGAGCAGCTGGGAGGTGTGGGCATTATGTGTGGTAATAATGTGTGCCAGAGAGACGTGCTCAACGAGTACGAGGGGCTGTGTGAGATTTTCAGGTGGTTGATGTTTTGGATTGAGGGCAAGAAATCCGTGCCCGTTCCTCGCGAGCACGCGTGGGGACCAACACATCGGTGAACAGTGGCGCATGTCCAACAACTCGCGGGCAAAGTGATCGTGGACATTCCCTGAAAGCGATAGACGGGCACAGCACCGGAACAAAGGATGTGTCTAAGCGTGAAGACAGCAAGTACGATGATGAATGCGCAGCACCTGCGCTTTCGTTGAATTGCCGAGAGGTAATCGAAGTAATCGCACACAACATCACGGAATACTCCTGCGCATACTCCTCAAACATAAAAACGGTACGCTGCTTCATCAAGGACATGCCGGTCGGTGTAATATACGCATACGAGAACGGCACGTGCGTATTGGATGCACCATCAAGCGAGAAGTTCAGCACCTTCATAGATCAAATCAACAAAGAGAACCTCAATCTGGTGATAATGGCCAATTTCAAGGGATTTAGTGGCGGTGACACAGACATGAAGCAGGGCATTCTCAAACAGGGGAGTAAAATCATAGAAAATCTGAAAACTTTTAGGAACAAGATATTCGTGTACATTGGGTGCGGCTGGCAGGTGCGTGGCGGTACATTCGTAATACTCGACAAGTTTATCAACGAAAGGATACGCGTGTTTGTGAGCAGGGATAGCCGGATCGGCATCATGCAGCCTAGTGGGCTCTCAGAGGTGAAGTTTAAGGAGAAGGAACGGATCAGAATTTTGGAGAAGAACGGCCTGGCGGTGGACGAGCGAAACATAAATGAGCTGGCAATAAAATTCTGTGAGCTCCACGACCATCCTGAGCGCATGGTGTGCAAGGGCCGGGTGGATGGCATGCTAGAGATTGGAGAGTTGGAGAGCAAAATATACGAGTATTTCTGCGGATGATGAGTAAATTGTTTTGGACATGTCTCTTCGTCAAGCATTGTCAGTTTTCTAGATGACTACCTTATCCAGCATCATCCACGTATCTACTCCATGTATTTGTTCCTTATGGCCCGCTCAACATTGATCTAAGGTTTCTTTTCCGGCAGCATTGCAGGGATGCTGCTGCGTTAAGAAGGCACAAAAATGATAAAAAGCAAATACAACAATGTTTTAGTTACACGGCATTTTCAGAGCAACTATGACACTTGGCATTGATTTTCAATGAACATGCTTGAGTTATCATCACGAAATGCAGGGGTGTTCTTTCTAAAAATTTTTATAGCAAAACATTTTTAGTGAAAAAAAAAAAGAAAAGGAAGCTGTGGCATTAAAAACAGTAAAAAGAAACAGAACATGCAAATGCTTGAAAGGATACTTCTAACGGCACTTGAATTGTTACCGTACAAAAGAGAGAAAAATGTTGGGTGCTTTTAACGTTACTTTCATTTTGTTAGAACCGTGCTGCCTAACTCGTTCGTTGCTGTCTACTTTTGAGCTGAAAAAGCAGTACCTTGGTCCAATGCCGTACGTTTCACACCTACACCTTAAGATAACTTAATTTTAAAATAGCGCACTACCAAGCATGAGCAGAAATAATGCGTTAAAAACGCTACAACACTTTAATCGACTGGATCACCTCCCTTATGCTGTAAATTTGCTGTTCATATTCATGCACTAAGGGTGTTTATGCAATTATCTATCCTATGCTAAATTACTATGCGGAAAGATGAGGTCTAACAAAGAAAATAAAATTTACTAACCGTACCTTGCGATACAACGGTGTGCATCACACAAAATGTAGAAAATACTGAAGGAATGACTTCAATTTTTTATTAAAGCACGTTTATCCATCAATCTACGACTAGCTGCGCTATTTCCGTTTAAAAAACAGAAAAAATGCACTATCCATTAAATGATGATTTTAAAATATCGTTTACTCTTACCAGGTAAATGCGTAGTTCATAAACACAGTACACGTACTGTCCTGTTATATTATCGTTTACTATAAAGAACGATTCGGCTGGTGTTGCAACGAAATGATATTTGGTGCTTGAGTCGGTTATGAAGAGTGAACTGCTGTGCTTTATCAGATGTTTTGAAAATGGCAAGATTTTTCTGTTTTACGAACTATATCTGGTATTTAAGGCAATGCTTCTCTTGAGTGTTGGCATGAGGGCGTGATAATTTTGACATGAACCGTTATTTTGTTTTAATGTTTATTTAAGAAATATTACTCTTATCTATTTATGCACGAAACTATATAAAGAGACGATTTGCTTTCAAAATGCATAGAACATTCTACACGCTGAGGATAGCAAACATAACATGCGGCTCATGTGTTCCTAAAATACAAAAGTGCTTGAAAAACTTTGAATATGTGAACAATGTAAAGATCAACATCTTTACGAAAGAGGTTCAGTTAGAGATGCACACCGTGGCTGATAGCACAAAGATTGAGCACATAAAACGTGTCTTGAGCGAAAACGGATTCACGATCTCGGATGATCAGAAATATTGGAGAAACATGTTCTACGCTCTCATACTTCTTTACATAATACAAATCGTGATGCACAGAACAATGAACATATTCTGGATGGATCTGGTGCTCTCTACCGTTATACAGGTTTTATGTTCCCGCAGGATCTTTAGAGGATCGATGGCATTTACCGACACAATCATTCTTGGTTCTCATGCATCATTCATTCTTGGCTGCCTCTACGATGCGCAGAGTCTGCAAATTTCCTCTTTAATTCTCGTGATGGTGGTATTGGGCAAGTTTATCCTGGAAATCATAGGTAATAAGGCCAGTGAATTCCTTAGAACTGGTTTAACGGAATACTACGTATATAACAATGAAAACATAAATTATGAGGAGATAAAAGATGGATACATGATTGTGATAGAACAAGAAAAGCATATTCTGTTTGACGGAATTGTCGTGGAGGGGTCATCATACGTCGATGAAAGTAACCTGACAGGTGAGATGAAACTGAAAGAGAAGAAGAAAAACGATTTCATATACTCAGGTACGTACAACAAGGCCGGGTGTGTAACGGTACTGGTTCATAAAGTGGGAAAAGAGACATATTTAGGAAGGATACTCAGACAGATCGATCATTCTCCTGCTGACCACACCAGTGATATAAGAAGTCTCTTTTATTTCATTATTTTCATCACTATTTGCTCATTTTTGATGTGTTTGATCAATTCATCACTCACACAAGCAGTCAAAACAAGTCTTTCACTGCTTATAATAGCGTGTCCGTGTGCTCTTAACATATCAGAACCACTCACAGTTCTTGTAGGCACCAAGAAACTGTTCGATAACAGTGTTGTTATAAGGGACTTAACTGTTTTTGATAGTTTGGGTGACCTTAATGTCCTATTCATCGACAAGACAGGAACACTAACGGATGGTACCTTCCGTGTGAAAGATTTTATACCTATCCTATCGCTTGATATAGGCGTCATAAAAGCGCTCATTCATACATTGGAAAAAATGAGCTACCATCCTGTCGCTAGTGCCCTGGTAGAGTATTGTACATCACCTGTCATTGGAGAGGTGTTAAACTACGAAGTTGTTAGAAGTGGTGTTAGGGGACGGGTACTGTACAAAAATGCCCAATACGATGTGCAAATAGGAAATGATGGAATGTTGACGGAGAACAATAGGAATAACCTGCACTTCGTGGCCAATATATCGATAGAGAATAGCGATAACACCAGCAATACGTTCAAATATTACATCGCAAACGATGATGTAATCGATATTTATGTGGTTATCAATGGTGAGCTGGCATGCATCTTTTATTTAGAGGATAAAATAATCAACGGTGCAAAGAGTGCCTTAAAACTGTTGAACGAGCAAAACATCACCACCATAATGCTGACCGGTGATTCATACACGAATGCCAAGAGAGTGGCACACCGACTAAACATAAACAAAGTGTATGCCAGCAAAACAGCAGTACAAAAATCTAAGATCATACAAAATTATAGAAAGGGACACGTGGTCGGCATGATAGGTGATGGTATAAACGATTACTGTGCTATTGCACAATCCAACATAGGAATTAGCATAGGAAACGTCTTCTCTGAGATCGGACATGTTTCACTTCTGTGTAAAGATTTACACCTGCTTTACATACTATTGGTGATCGGAAAACGTATAAGAAGAAGGATTATTATCAACTTTACGCTTTCTATCGTTTACAACGCAGCTGCACTGTTTGTGGGTGTGTTTGGCAGTTATTATGGTTTGTTCATAACACCGAGTATTTCTTGCATGTGCATGTTCTTGTCCTCACTAACAGTTATAATATCAGCACTTATGTTCAGATGATTGGTTCAAGGATAGACATAGCAGAGCTTTTGTCCTCCTATCACGAAGAAGATGAGGTAGAAGAGTAGTTATAGCTTATTTTAGTTTTGTGCATTCAAGAACTGCTGAAAATAGAGCAGCATTGGTAGCTACGTTATGTTGTGACAGTATGCATATTTATTTTTCTTCTCACTGGATGTTCAGCGATCTTTGCACCGTTTACGGTGTACGTTCTGAATAACACATCGTGGTGGTATGATGTATCTAAGTACGTTGATCAGGTTGGTTATTCATGGTAGTATTACATCAAACGTGTTAGTTTGATGTTAGGACTTTTTCGGTATATGAGCAATGAAACCTTAGTACTACTATATTTGGTGTATATCAGGGATTACGATGTGGTAGTTGTCTTATACTTGTTATTGTCTCACTGTCTCTTCTCACATTTGTAGCAATGCGGACCGGTATTATTGTTGTGATTTCTTTGATGATTAGGTTTGGTGTCGATAGGTAATTGCGCTATAAAATGTGCTGTTTCTATCTGCATTTCGACTTTCTTACCGTGGAAAGACGACTTTGTCCTTTCAATATTTTCAGCAATTAAACTTTTCTACCTTCGAACAACGCCTTGTGCTAAACCGCTGTCTATTCCAATAGTCATCAATTACAGCACATTCTAAGGCATGACACTTGCTAAATGTTGTTTACGTGCCGTTGTATGAGGAGATAACGTGCCTTTAGTGAAACACCACTTTTAAACAACAATTCCTTTAACCCCATGGATGATGACCGGTTCAGCGAGATGGAACAAAACCTACAGAATGTACTATTCTCGCTCGTAGAAGCACTTGAAGCAGTAAAGAAGCCACAAGGTGGTACAAATGAAATTAGAAATGCCGTTGAATCGTTAAAAAAGATACAGGATGGTCTAATGGGTGTGTATGAGAGTAATAATGAGGATAACAAGGAGATGAAAATGGTGGATAGTTATGGCAAATGAGCGGGCTATTCGGTAAGTGGTGCAAATTAGTGTATGGAATGGGTAGAGTTAAAGAGTGTGTGGATATGTAGTACTTGGTGGAGGGATGTTTTCTTTGTTGGAATAGCACCGTTTTTGGTAACAAATTAGTCTATGGTGTGCGAAAAGTGGTTCAGAAGGTGAAGTAGCAGGCGGTATCTGGTGCGATGGATGAGAATGGTCGAGATACCGTAGAATGGAACGGATATGATGAGCAATTCAGGCATGCATAGCATGTTTTATGGATATAATTAGTGCATATGATGTTTTTGGTAGTGCAGGAGGGTACTTTGTTTGTATTAGTACGAGGATGCTCATCAACCAGGCTTGTTAGTGGACAGACTGGGAGACC